TTGGTCCAAGCCAGCTGTTTTACACAAGTGCTTGTTTCTTCTAGATCCTAATTAGTGACAGATTGCCCATCTCAAATAGGAAGACTTCACAAGTTTTCTGAAGGAGGTGCTTGACTGGAGAAGTACACTTTTCAAATAATCATAATTATTTTAATAATTTGAAAAAAATTATAAAATTATAACTTGTTGACTGATCTAATTTGCAATTATTATTTGTATGCTGATGTGGTGGGTTGACCATGGCTGGACACCAGGCGCCCACCAACGCTGCTCTATCACTCCCACTCTGCAGCAGGACAGGGAAGAGAAAATACAATGGAAGGCTTGTGAGTCAAGACAAGGACATGGAGAAATCACTCACCAATTACCATCACTGGCAAAACAGACTCAATCTGGGAAATCAGTTTAATTTATCATCAAACAATTCAGAGTAGGAGAATGAGAAATAAATCCAAATCTTAAAACACTTTCCCACCACTTTCCCATCTTCCCAGGCTCAGCTTTCTTCTACCTTTCCTCTACCTCCTCCACTCCAGCAACATAGGGGCACACAGAATGGGGGTTGTTGTCAGTTCATCACACGTTGTCTCTGCTGCTCCTTCCTCCTCAGGGGAGGACTCCTCACACTCTTCCCCTGCTCCAGCCTGGGGTCCCTCTCACAGAAGACAGTCCTCCATGAACTGCTCCAGCGTGGGTCCCTTCCATGGGTGCAGCCCTTCAGGAACAGACTGCTTCAGTGTGTGTCCCTTCTATGGGTCAGAATCATTTGCTCCAGAGTTGCCTGCAGCAGCAAACCTACTCCAGCATGGTCTCCTCTCTCTATGGGGCCACAGGTCCTGTCAGGACTCTGCTCCAGTGCAGGCTTCCCACGGGGTCACAGCCTCCTTCAGACATCCCCCTGCTCTGGTGTGTGATCCCTCATGGGCTGCAGTTGGAGATCTGCTCCAGTATGAACCTCCGTGGGCTGCAGGTGGATATCTGCTCCAGTGCCTGGAGCACCTCCTCTCCTCCTTCTGCGCTGACCTTGGTGTCTGCAGAGCTGCTTGTCTCACGCATTCTCAATCCTCTCTTCAGGTGAAGTTGCTCCTGTGCAGTAACTTTTTCTCCCTTCTTAATTATGTTACCCCAGAGGCACTGCCCCCATCACTGTTGGGCTCGGCCTCAGCCAGCAGTGGGTCTGTCTTGTAGCCGGCTGGCATTGGCTCCATTGGACATGGGGGAAGCTTCTGACAGCTTCTCACAGAAACCACCCCTGTAGCCCTCCTACTACCAAAACCTTGCCATGCAAACCCAGTACAGCTGACTGAAGTCTGCTGAATGGATACTCCAATTCAGATGAATATGCTGTTCAATAACCCTCTTGGCAAGTAGCGTGACTTTATACATGAGGTGACATTATTTTCATAACAGATGTTATTTGTAACATTTTGGAGTACAAATGTGAAAACTTTAGTTGAGCAATGTTAATCTTTCAAATTACTTCATGTTCCTTTTTTCCTGTCAAAACTGAGATTTTCATGAAGAGCATCTCAATGGCTACAGATATATTTGAAAGATACTCCATCAAAAATTTCAAACAATTCTTTGCAGAATCTTTGTTTTGAACAGTGGCATCCTACAACATAAAGGGGCTCATATCTTCATAGTTGCAAACAGGATTAAAATGTCCTTATCTTTCATTTTGTCATATTAAAAATGACATTGACCTGAATAATTTCTGTCCCTAAATTTGAAAACGTTTAAAATTACTGTAGCAAACCAGCTACAGTTGCTTTGTACACCACCTTTGACAAATCCACACAAATTTGAAGTACTTCAAGGAACAAAAATAATCTCTTAATTGCATTTTATTTAAGGCACATATATCTCATTCTACATTTGTTTCCTCCCCAGAGTCACTCCACTATTCTAGACAAGAAAGAAAAAATTAAACTAAAGAGTCCTACTCTTAAAATCGTTTGGGGTCCACCAGTAAAAAGTGTTGAAGAGTTTTGTTTATGTCAGGTGAAGGAGGATCTGCTACTGAAAATGAAAAGAATTAAAATATCCTCACACAGAAGCATAACCAAGAGGAAAACTACACATCAAAGGGAAAAGTAATCATTGCGTTTAACAGAAATCTCCTGCTATGTGCAGCTTCCTGACAACATAACTAATTATTTGTCCTGATATGAGGTTCTGAAAACAGGACAGGCTTTCAACAGCTCTACCTTCATATGTGCTCAGCTGTCACTTTAGAAACAAGCAGACTGAACTACCTATATCTCAGTAGAAAAAGAGAAGGTCTTTAGGTATTTTACAAAATAGAGGAAACATAAAGGAATATAAAGAGAATGAAAAATGCTTTACACAGCATAAATAAAATGGTAATGTCTCTTTAGAAGCAGCAGCTAAATAGCATTAATTTACAGGTAATCTCGAATATTTTTGTAGTTCACAAAAATATCTGCAAGTCTAATCTTTCTTCCTGTCTTCTGGTAGCCCTCCATAAATTGGAGCAAAGCATTGCCTTTGAAAAAGAAATCCAGCAGGCTCCCCAGGTGTTCCTGTTTGATTTCCTTTTCCCATAGCACAGTGAGTCACTCTTACATCTGTCTCCTGGCTGTTGCCTCATGGTGTGAAAGACGTTGGCACTTTTGGAAGTCACACCCTTTGTAGTTTGCTACCAACCTAGGAACTATGGCACCAAAACCTGTTGAGCCCTACTGTGATGCAGAATATATGGAATGTCAAATACTGATCTGCATGATTATGATAAAGCTTTTCAAGTTACACACTGGTACATAGCAGCGTTACATCCAGTTATTGAGGCAGATGAAATTGCTGCAGGAGAGGATGAAAGAAGAAATAACAACTCTGGGTCAATCTAGGCGGGGAAAAATAAAACAGTATAAACAGTAGATGTAAAATGCATTGGAAGACAAGAAGTATTTATCGGATACAAATAGCTTCTTGGCACTAGAAAGATAATAATAATACTCAGCAACTAAAGGCTAGAAAGAGGATGGTATGCACCTCTTTGTCTAAGCATCATACTGCATACATAATCATCTTTTGCCAGCTTTCTTGTTCTTTAGCAGAATTTGGCTGCAATGGTCCAAACGCAACTAAAACATGGGAGAACACCAGTGAGATACAAGTGCTCTGAACAAGGGCATTTTAAACATGCTCTTGGAGGGCACATATCTATCTTTCTTATATTTCACTAGGCCAGTCAGCTTACAGTCATTCAAATGTTTTAACTTTTCATGGCTTACAGAAATATAATATTGTTTCACTTTTATAAAAATCATAGAAACAAGGCCATTGAGCTATGTACAAGGTTTGCTACTGATGTGCAAGAAAAGAAATGAAAAGCAAAATCCTGACTGTACAGGTTTTATACACATAGATACTACAGAACAATATAATCAACTTTCATATAAAGGATTTTCATACACAGTAAGAAATGATTGCTTTGACCTGTGATAATACCAGAATGATTTTAAGGGCCCAGAGTGCATTCAAAATCTAAGAAAGAGATTAACACATATATTTTTTAATTGTTCCTTTATAGGTTTTATAAGCTATTGGGGAGGAGGGATTTAGGAGAAGTCTTAAGCATAGCTAAGTTATAGCTTGTTTTAGGCAATGACTGGGACATTGTTTCTGCTGCCATATGAGCTATTTGTAAAGTCTTTTAATTCCACTGGAAAATATTTATCATAACTTATTAATTAAAAGGAAGAAATCATAATGACAGCAAAATATTTTTACTGATATTTTATTAGACTTAGCACCTATCTTGAGAGTTACTGATCACGTCTCCAGATCTGGGTGAAACATCAAGTGTGTTATGTTGGACATAACTGAAATAGCTTGCATTCTGCTTTTAGACTCTCTTAAAGGGATCAAAATTCAGATTGTCTATTTTACTGCAAACGTAGGCATTTTGAAATCTACCATCATTCCCACAGTGGGCAGATGGCTGCTCTGAGTAAATCATGCCATACTCTGTGAGACTGTGGCCTCATGCCATTTATTTGTGGCCCACAGTTTTGAGAACTCCTTCTGAAAGGACACCAATGCAATACTAATATAAATATCTGTTCAGTGATTGAGAAATCTGAATACTTTTTACATTTTAAGAACATGCCAGAGCTAATAGCACATAAATTGACTTCTATATTCATATGGTATCAGTCATAAAAAAAAATCTTGTAATTATATGCTGTTTTGTAATTACGTATTATATTGCTGTCGTGATTTTATTAATTTTGGTCTTGTTAGGATGTTATGACTGAAAGAATATGTTAATTTCAAGTAGTGATTAGGGCAAAGCAAAAATTAATCTTTACTGTTTATACTCCTTCAAAGGAGCATAGATAGTACAATTACTTGCCTTTTCAGTCTTTCGCCTAGCTTGTCTATAAAGTGTGAGACTTGTAAATTAAATAGGATTTAAGTTAATCTCAAATATCCACAAATTAGCAATTTTTGTGTCTTTTGCTGATGTCCTGATAAAATAGAATCTTTCAAATATTCTATGGAATCCAGCATTGTAATGGTTAAGTGACAGGCATGCAAGGGCAAAAGAGGTTGTCAAAGGGCAAAACAAACAAGACTTTTCTTCTCTTAAACAGCTTCTCCTAGCCATTAAGCATTGCAGGCTAGTTGCAAAGTAGCAACACTGCAGCTGTCTCCAGTAGCCTCCATTTTGCTTGTGGTTATGGATTTGAGGTAAGTCTGTATCACCTAGGGAGTGAATGACTGCAAGTGCCGATGATGCCACCTAAGACTGAAAACAATAGAGGTGATTCAGTTTCTGAAAGGCAATAGCAAATCTAGCAGATATTATTGACCAAGGTTATTAAGAACCTTGGTCTTAATAATGGTTGAGGCTAATAGCCTGCCTCAACGTCTAACTGCTGAATAAAAAGCAGTAGCAGCAGCAGCAGAGGATGCAGAAATTTAGAGCGTTAGAAGCCACAGAAGGAAGCAAAACTAAGAGACAGCAACAGTAAGACAAAGTACATATAAACTTTTAATGAATTAACCTTACAAAAGACAATAGCTTCAAAACATTTGACACGTTTGTACAAAACTATTCCAGCATTGTTAGTTCTCTCTTCAGAAAGAATGCCAGCAAGCCACCCAACGTGTCCCTGGCTATGAGATGCAACTGGTGATCACATCCAAATCATGTGTGGATAGAGTAAATTTATTTACAAATACTGTATATTTTAATACCAGATTAGTGGATGCTATTGGGGAGCGACTGTATTTTCCAGAAAACACCATGCATCAGAAAATAGTATGCACCCCTAGCTTTATTGCCTTTTTTTCCACGCATTTGTCACTAACATCTCTTTAAAGTCCTTTCAGGATGAGTTATCTCCTTTTAATTCCTATTCCTTCTTTTCTTGTCTTTGAATAACAGTGCAAGTAGCAGTACAATCTTCCAGTCCTATAGTGTACATCGCAACTGTCCTTGAACATAAGGAATATCAAGGTGCAAAATGATGGCTCATGGGACTATTCTGCAGCCATATTAAAATAAGTGCCACATACCAGAAAATAGCACGCATGTTAAGGGCCAAAATGCAGTTAAAAAGTGCGTGATACTTTCCTGAAAATATGGTACTGATGACACGTACAAGCATCTTCAAGATGCCATGTTCCCTTGTGAAAGGGATCTTGTCATTTCAGTATGTACAAAGTATGTCTTCAATTCTCCTTTTCCTTTTACATTTATTATTCCTCTGCAAGTGCTCATGTACCCCAGTGTCTGCAGGACGTTGTTTGTCTCCTCTGTAACCTGCAACAACACAGTAATAGAACCAGTGTTGATAACAGAGCAAAACAGAATCTTCTTCCACAGAGTGAAGAGAACATATGTCCTGAGGAATTATAAGGGGGTTGCTATAATGCTTATAAGGCCTTTAAGGGTCTCATGTGAGGTTTGAGCACCTGAGCTTTCAAATAGTCTGTTGCCTATTTTAATTGCTTATATCAGGTATCAAATTTGGTGTAATCATTTCTGGAGCTAGGATTGCAAACACAGTAGATACACAACAGGGACAACAGTCTTCCTCATATAGCATTTTTTTCAACTTCAGGAGGTGTTTTTCTTTCCAGTAGACCCAACCTTCCCCATCATTTTGCAAATACTGAGTCTGTGTGAATGAAGTGATATTAAGACATTAGCGTCGGTGTCAGAGATGCTGTTGCCAGTTTTGCACATAGCTGACAGTGAACCAAACTGCAGGCAGTTCTGCCATTTTAGTTGAAAGGCCACTAAAATGGGGGTTGTTCAACATCATCAGTTGTTTCAGACTGTGTTTCTTTGTGAAACAAGCAACTGTTTATAGATGTCGTTGCTTTGGCATCCCTTCTGTTTTCAGTTTTGACCACAGTTCGTAACTTTACTTTTCCATGATTTAGTTCTGAATAGTCTTAATCATAGATTCAGAGTGCTCTCAATTGCATGCTGGGATCCCAAAGTGCAGGGCAGGATACTAGGCAGATACTTAAAATGTGATCCGTGACTATGGAATCACTGGAAAGTTAATAAATTGAAGGTCTTTTCTATAAGATCTATCTATAATCTATACAGATAATAATATATAAAGATTATTAATCAGCATGGTTCACTGAAAGGAAAGTTTCATGATCACTTTATGTATTTAAGTTAATGTACAACAGTTATGGTCATTTACTTTGTTTAGAAATAACATCAGCAATGCCCTTCAGAGATAAGGTAGCTAGTATTTTATGAGTTTAAAAATCCACAGAATAAAAATGTGATTTCCCTCAAATCATCCTCTTAACCTAGGGATGCATTGCTAGCCAATCCATGATGTCCTCCACTGTATTCCTCTGTAGGGTTAAGACAAAGTTTTTATTCTCCTCCTATATTGCCCATAATTTTGTTTTAATTCTTTAGTTTCCTGCCCAGGGTCTAATTCTTCTGAAACGTAAAGTTACAGCTGGTAGGTAATGTGTTTTTGTAGGCATCCTTAGCTCCAAAACACATACCTGTTTAGTGTACAAATACGCTTTTTTTTTTAAGCATCAGACTCAAAAGATTAAGATAAATACCAGCACAAAAATAAAACTAACCTGTATTTTGTCTAAGACACCAGTGCTGTCCATCCTGCTGGCCACGTTTACTGTATTGCCCCAGATATCGTATTGCGGTTTTTGAGCTCCAATTACTCCAGCTATCACAGGTCCATGGTTGATACCTGGAAGACGTCAGAACTTAAGAACAAACATCCATCAAACAGGGATGTACAGAGCATCTGGTAACATACCAAGTCAATAAACATGGTATTTAGCCCATGCTGAATAATGAATAAAGCTGACAACAGTTTGTTCACAACTGCTTTATTAACAAATGCACATTGTAAGGGTGAAGAACAACGTGGTACAGTCCAGTATTAGACTCTGGCCATTTTTAATCTTGCAGTCATTTTGTATCCTATGTTATGTTTGTAAAGGGAGAGAGTTGTACTCTGCTAGTAGGGAAGGAAACAAGGAGGCAAAATCAAAAGCACTATCATTAACCATCCATCAAATATACTGTAATTGTAACTCTAGTTACAGTGATGACCAGAAAAGCCAATTTAGATGAGCAGGAAAGCCACATCAGACCTAGTGAGAAATAAACTCTGGACAAGCAAGTAGTTTGGAGTTCTAAGATTATCTCCATAACTGACTTCTATTAATTCCTTGATGGAAACCACCACTAGGGATATATCTGTGCAGTACAATGAAAGTGTGATTGAAAGAGGCATTTCAGAGATGGCTTATGTAGTATGGATCATATGTGACATGGCAGTATGGGCTAGCAACCACGGTGCGAGCTCACTTGGAAGCCCTGGAAAAAAGTGACCATAGCAGTTAAATTTAGAAAACTGGGGACATATGCAAACCCTAAAGGATACCAAATAGAACCTGATAAATATTTGTCTAAGCGCTTGAGATTAAATGGACAAAGGGACTCTAGGCCTTGCAACACCCTGCATTAACAACCAGGCCATGGGTGTGTCTTTCTGCCTCAGATCATCCAATGTGTATAAAGCACTAGGGACCGAAGAGTGGAATCCCCAAAAGCCATCTGCTGAGTAGCCCAAGCTGGCTAGTAGAGAATACCGAAGAGATGTGCATGGCATACGCTCTGCCATGGTCCAGAAATTAGAGAAATGTGATGGGACTTTCCTACAAAAATACGATGAGCAGGAGGTGACTTCAATTTTTTTACCTCTTTCCTGAACCATTCTGGTGGTTTGAGTAATACCTCAGGGGCTGGAGAGCCAGTTTCAGATCCCCCGTCCTTCAAGGAGACTTCTACCCATATCTCTTAGGAATGCATCTTGGTCACCCAGGATTTCAGGGATGCGCTGCTCTATGTCATTCCTGCTAGTGCAGGTCTCTTTCGTGTGACACATGAATGTTTATTGGGGCAGGGCTGGAAGAGTAGTACTGTCAGTCCAGGTGAATGCTCTAACAGAGGGTGATACCATCTGTCTCTTTGTCTTGTATCCAAAGTGACATTTAATTATTACATGAAAAGGAAAATACTGTTCAGCAAATACTGTTCTGCAGGACAGACAGAGAATATCTTATTCCAAAGTACACTGCAACCTGGGCTCATAGGATTCTCCAGGGAAGAGGGATCCTTATGCTTGAACAGCCTCAGCCAAAAGAAGTACCAAATTAAGTTCACCTACAACACAGACAAATGTTCTAACCATAAAGCTATATGGAAAACAACATGTCAGCCCTTATTCTGTTGTGGAAAAATGCAGTGCCTGTGCAAAACTGGCTGCAAAAGCTTACCTGAACTTGTCTAATAAATCAAGTACCTTAGCTAACAGAAGGAGAGGAACACCTGAAATATAATCTAGGTGTTCCCTTCCCTTCCCTTTCCTGACAATGTCAGAGTAGGCTGTGTACTTCCTAAGGCACAACTAGCATTTCAGGCACTCGCAGAAAATGAAGGTTGAAAGCTGAGACCTCCAGTGAATTACAACAATTCTGGGGTTAGATGCTGGCTGAGGAAGGCTTTCACAAATAGTGGTTTGGGCTTAAGTCCTTTCAGTGGGGATATTGTCAGAGGTTCAAACGTTTCTGTGGTTGTAATTGCTATGGATATCAGATGGTTTCATGGTCAGGTGGTGGTAAGTGGAGAAGTGAAGATGGGAAGTTGGAGTTTTCAGTGTTGCCTGTATTGGATTAAGGTGGCAAAAGTACCGTTTCAGGGCTTGAATTCCTTTGTACATTTAAACATTCCTCATTTCATGAAGCAAAGGAGTCTGACTTTTCAGGAACCTGTAGCAAACACTTTACAAATCACTCTAAAGCGGGAAACTTTTCCCCTAGAAAGTTTGCTTCATGATTCCCACTTTAAAGGAGTCAGTATTGCTTTACTCAGTTTGCAGTTTCAGCCCCAACTCCTAGTAGCTCTTTATCTGTACTGACATTGCTGATACAAGTATGTTTGCAAGTATTTAGCATGTCTTCTATGGCAAGAAGAGAACTTTTATTCTGTACTGAAATATGGTCTCTCTACATGTTTCTTTTAAACCCGTCAAGTTCTGTAACACTTTGAGAAGGAAGTATACTTTGGATTTCCTTTCTCATTTTTTTAACTTTAGCAAAGAATACAAACCCAACTGGAAAAAGGAGCACTCTGTATTTCGCGTCAGAAGATAGCAAGTTTTGCCAGTGGGTGGCACTGTGAATTAAACATGAAAGGAGCAGCCTGAAGGAAAAGCGAGTGGCACAGCAAGGAAAATACAAGACAGGAGAATAACTTGGAAATCAAATACTTCTGACATGTTTACAGGATTTATGGATTTCCAATATTAATTTAATGCTTTCATTTCACACTTTCCAAGTTACATATTGCATTGTAAAACTGCTGTACCGCTATCAGGAAATAAACATTTCGGAACATATGCTTCTTGATCAGCTTTGAATTCATTTATTTCATCATCCTTTCCATGGCTTACTGCAGCTGCCTATTTCTTTTTTAACTATCATGATGCACAAGCAGAAGCAATTATAAGCTGAAATATAAGGGATACCCCTTTCAAATATAAACAACTAGTCATCTTTGCTCTTATTTGTCAATAACCACAGAATAACAAAGAGAAATACCCTCCTTTGTCTAAAACTGGGAAGGAAAGGGTGCATTTTTTTGTATGCTTACTTGAATTTAGTGCATCTAAAATATTTCAGATGCCAGCCTCAGTGAGCACCTTATAGCTCCTGCTCTCCAAAACCATTTATATGGTTTTGTAAAGCCCTGTCCAGAATTTTCTTGTATCCTTAGGTACTGATAAGCTTAAAAAAAATTCAGTGGTTAACAATATCTAGAATAATTATTATGGAGTTACCATAAAACCATTCAGAGCCATGGGAGCCTATATTTTCTACTGCTCTTTACTTAGGAATACTGCCCTTTCCTGAGTCCTGCCTTGAAACATGCCTTGCAACAACAGCAGCCGTGGTTAATGGGCAATACCATGTAGGTTGCCTTCAAACAGGGTAAAGATGGTGCTATTTACCTTCATGCCACTTTTGGTCAGTTCTGCTAACACTTGAATCCCCTGATACTTCACAATGAATTCTCCTTCTCCTCTATGATCTTCTCATAAAAATTCTGTGATACATACCTACTCGTAACTTGAAGTCATTGAATGAATGCTTGTTTATGACATCCAGTTTTGCCACCAAGGCAAATGCGAACTCCACCATAGTTCCTATGTGCATGTACTGTCGTTCAGGTTCCTGAATTTAAACAGCCAAACAAATAGAGTAAAATAATTTCCCTTAGCCTTAGAGAATAAAAACCAAAATATTCATAACACTTGAAAACACTGAAACCCTCAGAGACATCCTAGAAGATGATGCCTTGTCCAGCATTAGTTAGATCAAACAATGGCCAATAGACCAGGATGCATTTTACTTACAGAGTCAGGCAGTCTGGAGGTGATAGGTCCAAACATACATATTCTAATGTTTTGATTGTCAAACAACTGATTAGCTGCTACCTAGTCCCACAGGCACTCAATAGCTATGTGTGCCTAAGATTTGCTCATTAATTTTATCTAAGTGTCTGCGTCTATTTTATGCCCTTTAATAATAAATAACATTTGTGGACAGCCCCACAGAGACTTCTCCCTCTCACTGTTGCACATCTCAGTACCCTAGTTAATGCTTAAGAACCAGTGAAATTCACAATTTTAAGAGTTTCTCTAATGATCTCATCTGGTAGAAAAGCAAGCATCTCTGAGAATCTAATAGACCTGAAAATGAATAAACTACAGGAGGAAGAAAGGAAGCAGGCAACCCATCCTCTGTCCCCTCATTTCATAGCTCAAAGCTTACAGCTTTTATTTATAAAACCTATAGACTTCATGTCTCCTCGTACATCAACAGTGTAGCCTGATTCCTAAGTACTGATTTGAGTCCCTGCAGGCCAAGGAGAAAGCTGATTTTCAGGCTCCCACAGCCCAGAGTAGGCCCCTGACAAGAGAATTATTTCATAAGAGATGGACTCATCTCTATGAGAAATGACTAAATCTCCCTCATTTCTTGAGATAAAGTGACAGAAGAGATGGACAGATGACAACTTCAGGAGATGATTCATGGAGTAAATGCATCAGCCTAGGTGGGACAGTAGTGGTAATTGCCAGAGCAGCTGTTTAGAGGAATTAAGCCTGCTTCCTTTGGTGTTCACTCCTACTTAAGACAGATGATTTCATGTTCAGTTGATGTATTCAGACCCCGTCCTTAAGCACTTAGTCTTCCTTGGGTGTTTGAAACTGGGGGCAGTTCCCAGCAGTATGCCTAGCAGTCAGTCACAGCCACACTAAGTACCAAGGTATCTGTGCATCGTTAGGTATCTGGACTGAAAGCTAAGTCCTGGTGGATTTCTTTTGCAAATGTGTACTAAATTACCAAACGAACACTAAAACTTGGATCTCTTGATTCACAGTTTGTGGAAATAACTGAAATGATACATTTCTTCCTGTGCACACACTAGTTTAAGTCGTGACTGGAAGCTCCTCTGTCTTCTCATCTTGTCTGCAGTTCTGTTTTTAATTCATCCCCTTCACCTCCCTGTATTAAATGTCAGAGCTAATTTAGAATCATTCTTTTGCTCTTTTTTTTTTTTCAATTGTCTTTTTGTCTTCGGGATCCTTAGGGTCTATAGTTCAGGTGCTAATTGCCTCTGTCTAGAAGGAACATGAGTTTGGCAAGACCACAGTTATTCTAAGCAGAGAATGTGTTGATTCATAATTGCTGTCTCTGTCGCTAACTGGCAGTACTCTAAAGATCATGGCAAAAGCAAGATTTTTGCTTAAATGTTATATGAACTTCATTCTGACTGACTGCAGTTCCCAATCCTACCCTATTAAGTAAGCTAGGAACAAAGGAACATGTTCTCAGTGCTGAGCCTGAAGGATCTACAGGTGTATGGTTAGTACAGCTACTCAATCCTCCCAGCTTGCAATGGAAAATACCAATTTTTGCAGTGGTTTTCACAATTTACAAATCCAGTTCTGCTGCAGCATGTAGAAATAAAATGCTGTATTGTATTTAGAATAGAAGGCCTGTTTTAGACTTAGCAAATACAGAGGTGGCATTTTGAAACCACAGTGTGAAAAGCAATAATTCAGAGAGACTACTAAACAAAAGCATACACTTGTTGACAACAATACAGTCTATCCTAATACAAAAAAACCTAGGCCATGGCATTATACATAACCTGCAGTTTAATGAACAGAATTTTAGCCTTCGTTTGAACATGGTCTGTATTAATCAGAAGCCTTTTCCTGTACCTGACACTGTTCTTGGTTGGGTGTGGCACTCAGTCCTGTTGCTGCCATGTAAGTACTCCCAATAGTCTTTATCTTTTCAACTCCACTGAACTTTGGCTTTGACAATAACTGTAAAACAAGGATGGTTATTCATTATTCAGATCAGCTGTCTTATTACCCTAACAGATTGTTACTCTAACAGCATTTAGACCATCAATTCTTAGAACAGTCTCTTAATAGACCCCAAATGGCTTCACAAATATATACAGGATGAAGAACTTAAGGGTGGATAAAACAATGGTTACAGCCTCCAAGCGAAGCAAATGTTTGTCTGCTAAAATTTAATTTTAATCAAATTTAGTCCCTTTTCATTACAAAGGACTAAATTTATAGTAATAATAATAAATTCCATGTTATTGTACATACAGCCTTTAAAAGTCAGTAGGCTTTGCACTCATTTGAGATTGAAACTGAGTCACCATGTGAGACGACAGTTAAGATATAAATAGTTTTCCAACAGTGAGCATCTCTTCCACACCAACAGGACAGTCAATGCCACTAGGACTAAAATACAAGGATTTTAGTTCATATCCCAGGTTTTTGTGGACATCCCAATGTTCCCCACGTGGGTTTGCTCATAAAATAGCTTCTATAGCTGCATATCCACATATCCACAAATCCAGACTGTGCTTTCTGAGTCATAACATGGTCTTAATGTCTTTAAGACACATACTGTTCTCAGTGAGACCTTTACAGTTACACTCTTGTCACAGTCCATCTGTAGTCATACTCTGTACTTGCTTGTAACTTCAGAGAATGGAATATTAGAACTTACACAATTCTTTGATTTGCTCATGTAATCAACTGATCAATGCCCTGTATAGTGAGACAGATCAGGTGTAACACACAGCTGTATCATTTTAGGGGACACAGATTTACATACCTGACTTTAGGCAGTAGTATTTAGAAACTGCAGTCAATATATGGCATGCAATATGACTGCCTCATGAACTGCAGCTAAAGGGCAAAAATTTCTTCATCAGATATACACATAGGATTCTTATTACAGTGAATTAAAAGCAATTGAGAATGTCAGCTTAATATCTGATTTATCTCACTTCAACCTCTTTTTCCTTTAATACTCCCTGTTAAGTATGACTAGGCACACAGAAGTTCTTTTCTAACAGCTCTCTTTCAAGTACATTTGCTTACTGTTGCATACCCTGAGTTATTAAGATTGAAACCATATGTTGATTGCTGTTAGAAGTACATACATCATCGAAGTCAGCAATGATCTCATTTAGCAGCCTGAGACATTCCAAGCCTTCCTTATTTACGTCAGATTCTGTGTAAAATTCCTTGAAATCCGGAACAGAGGCAAACATGACACAGACACAGTCATATGACTGATGATAGAGATCCTGTCCAAAAGAAAACAGAAGAGAGAAAAAAATCTGTTATACCCAGCTCTAAATAAAAATTTCCTCATTAATAATATGCAGTATCCTTTTTCAGAAAAGGGAGGAGTTGCAGTGGTTGGAATGGCTTAAGACAGTGGTTGGGTATTTTTTGCAATTAGTTGCATGTATTAATTTTAAATGGTGTATAAAGAGACTCAACACATACAGCTGAAAATATTTTAGTGATTTAGTTACTTTTTTTCCTCCTGAACATTAACTCTGTGAACATAAAATGTTCAGTAATTTATTAGATAGGACCCATTCCTGAGGCTTCTTATGAAAAGAGTTTGGTCTGGCTTCTATGTCTGAAAATATATTTTTGTAAAAGAATATCTAATTTATTATTAGCTGCTTGTGCTATTGTAATAACTAGCAAACTGAACCAAAATCATAAACTGAACGCACTACAAATGCATAATGCAACACAAACCTGACTGATAGTTTTTAACCAAAAATAACAAGATCCCCATTAGGATAAAATAATTATCATTTCTATAACAAGGAGCTGAGGCAAAGGGAAAGAAGTCACCTGAACTAGAACTTATTTATGTGAGAGTCTCCACTGCCTTCTGTGAGCACCTCAGCTCCATAGGAATATTCTGGTGCTAAAATTGACCACCCCCCTCCACTGCCCATTCAGTCGGAGAAGGTGGATGATTTTCACTAGATTTTTCTGCCCCTTTGTTCTCTAGGGATTCCATAACCAGAGCATCACTGAGGATCCACCATGCCTCTGGGCAATGGGGGTGGAATATATCACTGCAGTTCATCATTATTTGTATTCTTATAGCTGAGATGGTTGTACCTGACATCCAGCTTACAGCCATATATACAAAATCAGTATCACTTTGATGTAACCTGATTGTGCAAATGAAAAGCAACTAAACAAAATGTCCAAGCCAATGAGTCCCAAGTCAGATCGCTACTAAACTTTGAAGGAGTTCTGGATCTCCTATGTCCTCCTGCCAACAGAATTTTTCATAAAGAACTAATATTGTGATTATATTTTTCTGCCATCTATTTTATCCATCTCCATCAACACTTGGTTAATAAATTTAATCCATATAATGATGTTAAAAGTAAAGGCTAATTAATAATGTAAAAGTAACATATAATTTAATCCATATAATTAAGTAATCAAATGGGTAGGAGAGGGAACCCCTCTGGCTGGATGACGTCAACTGCATTTATGCAATTAAAGCTTAATTGAATACCTGACTAATGTATTTAATTTGAGAGCATGGTCATCCTATGTGCATCTATATTGTCAGAACAGTAGATGTGCATATCTGGGAAGTCACTTTAATGCCAGATGAGCAGAATCACCTGAGACAGAGTTTCCTTCTCTCAGTCAGTTATGGAAGAAAGGCTAACGGGGTAATTTTTCCTAATGTAAACACTCAAGAGGAATGCCTGAAACTCTACAGGATGACTTTGACTCTAAGAAATTTAGAAGCTCAGGCCCCGAATGACCTCTCTCTGCTCCAGTCTCCCATACCAGCTCCACTCTGTAATACTGCAGTGACATATACTGGGGGCTGTCTTGAGTATTTATGCACCTAGACTCGCTGCAGGTATACTCAAGTAAGCTTGAAATTAGTGAATTGGAGCAATAGAAGAAGAACAACAGGCTTAGTCTGGAAATGTTTAGCTTTTGCAGTCTGTGTTTTGCTTCACATCTACTTACTTCAGGCATGTCTACACTGAAGCTACAGTAACATTTGCCTATACATACAGTCAAAAGTCAAGATCTGAAGTGCTAAGTGCTTTTCATAGACAAGTTAGCAGAATAGGTACAGATATTGCATTCTGTGGTTAACTTGGCTTTTTTTCTATTTCCTCAAGTTACCTTGCTTGTAACTTAATTTCAATTTTGCATGAAGAAATTCAGGCAAAACAGTGCTGATTATTAAAAGAGGACTGCATCACAAATACAGGGCCTTGGTAATATAATGTTATATGAAAGACCGGAGGGAGATACAACAATATTTATAGCAGAATGTAGATAATTAATATTCAAAACATGGATTATTACAGATACTTTTGAAACTTTACCTTACAAAATAAAATTGTATACATCTATGATAAATACTTAAAAAAAAAAAGAAAAAATTCAGATTCCTACCAGATTGAAAAATCCAGTAAATTAAATCCAGTCAAATTAATAGTACACAATAATACATAATTCTGTTGTCCTAAGGATTCTGTTAATTGGTAAAAAAAGTTGGTTTTAATTTATCAGATAAACATGAGATAGCAGCTGTTTTATTTGCTTTATTGAATCCAGCTGATTTTTGCATCCTGCGAATGTAAAACGTGACAGAATTACATTACGGATGGGATTCTGGTTGTAAAGACAAAATCTAGGCACAGAGGTGATATTGGGACACTGCCATATCTGAAATAGTACTTGGAAAGTAGCATCATGTAAAGATTTATTTTAGAATAAACTTCAAGTCATAAGACTACAGGTCTTTCAGGGGGTACAACTGAACACTTACGGAAAAAGGAGACCAACTAGCAGAGCTGCAGGCATATGATATTACTGCATAATATGAAGCAGAGATAGTAGAAGATAGTTTCATTTTGTCACCTCATAATATAGTGTCCTGGGTTCAGCAGTAGCAGTCATTTTTTTCTCCTTAATAGCTGCTGCAGTGTTGTGTTGTTTGACTTTCAGCCTGGGAACAGCACTGATAACACCGATGTTTTTAGTTACTGCTCAAACGTTTAGTCTGACCAAGGACTTTCTGAGTCTCATGCTCTGCCAGGGAGGGGGGGAAGCTGGGAGGAAGCAGAGACAGGACACCTGACCCAAACTAGCCAAAGAGGTATTCCATACCACAGCACATCATGCCCAGGATGTAAGTGGGAGTTACCCGGAAGGGCTGGCTCACTGCTTGGTCGAGCTTGGTTTCAGTGGGTGGTATTGTATTCTCTTCCCTTGTTATTTCCCTTATCATTATTATTATTGGTGGCAGCAGCAGTGGTTTGTGTTATACCTTAGTTACTGAACTGTTCTTATCTTAACCCGTGGGAGTTACATTCTTTCGATTCTCCTCCCCATCCCTCTGGAAGCGGGGGCGGGGGTGGAGTGAGCGTGAGGGCTGCGTGGTTCTGATTTACAGTCTGGGCTTAAACCATGACATATAGGAACCAGAAGATAAACAGGACATTTACAAGTAGAATAAGAAAAATAATAAGAGATATATAAATGTTTATTTCATTACTATTCAACAACATGAATGAGCTTAAAGGGTTAAACACCTGAATGCTTACGTGAATACTAGAAAAATGCATAACTAGGAAGTGTATACAAAGCATATGCAGAAGCAAAATACACCCTTACATTTACAGGTAAAAACACAAGGAGCAAATAGCACATTAAGCTTCAGCTGTCCCTTGAACTTTAGCTGAAGTATCTAACACTGAATACTGCCAGGGCCTTGCAATTGACTGGACTGCTGATAGGCGGCAATGATATTTACTACGATTCTCACTGAAAAAACAGTCTATCTTATTAAACAGGAAGACCTAATTAGCTATTTGAAAATGCCTTTGCTGTCCTCCTTGAAAGCAGAAATATTGCCCAGAATAAATCATGGCAACTTGCACACTGTACAGTCATCAGGAAGAGAAATATGACTGAGCAAAAGACAGAAGCAGAGCTTCGAACAGAAGTGCTGTTGTGACACAGGAAGATGAGTGCGCATTATGCTTTTGGCACTCCACCCACTATGGGATAACCAACATGTAAGAAATGTAACAGTCATGCCTGACTGTTAGAATTAGACACAAATCCTATTTTTCTATAACCAGCGGTATCACTCCTTCCTCTCCTCCATCTCAAAAATGAACAGATTGTATATGAACAATTGTCATATGCTGAAGCTCAGCAACAGTGCCCCATTTCTCTTCCTTTCTCTCTAATACTGGGGCAATATCCACCTCCGCTAATGCCCTATAGCATAGTAGGAGCATGGAAACAACAACAAATGGCACTGTTTATAACCAGATAAGTAGTAATTGTGGCTGTCACAATAAATGTCAGAGAAAGTAGGCTTTCCCAGCTATTTTATTTTGATAATTCTTAATAGTAAAGACTGTGGCAATTGAGTGTCTTCATTTTCCTGAGTAATTCTCTTGAAACAGTACTCTCCAAAATGTTTAATCAGAAAATTAAATGCAACACCATTCCATGAAGGAACAGCTTTGCTTCTCTCAACAAAACCATCCTTTCTTCTGCAGTCAATTCCTTTTTATTTTTTTCCCCTTTGATAACATCTGAATTTCTGTTGGTTAGGTCTTGTTACTGTCCTCTCTTCTTCAGTGCTTGGACGTCTTGTCGGAATGTAGGAAGGAAATGCTTCCCATTACACCTTTTGGAAGGGTATGTCGATGAGCTTCTCTGGGGCAGAATTTCTGTGCTAAGTAGGATGCTGGCTCTAACCTGTGGCTGATGAAGCAGGATTGCTCCTGCTGAGTAATGTGCTTGACAATAAGCTTGCAGCACAAAAGCTCCTGAGCCCTTTTTACTAATAGGGGATCTGGATGCTAACAACATAAATGAAAAACCTGCATAAGCCAGGTGCAGATATATTTAATCCTTGCCCTGTTTCCTGCTTTTAGTTTTATATTTGTTCCTATCTTTCTCTCTGTCAACTGGGAAGTACCCTGTTTGGTACCCAGCATGCAGACTATAAGCGGAAATTCAGTTCCAGAGGTTCTGGTAATGCAAACAAATCTTTATTACAGTTTGCTCTGAAGTAACTTTGCTTTTCCCATATCAGCATTAGTTAATGTGCATCCTGCTATGAAAAGACCTTTGTTGGTCATCTAAAAGTATAGGCCCATTACTCTCAGTTAGCATTCATCCACTCATATTTTCCCCTTTCATCATTGCTGCCTGTTCTTCAGCAGCACACTTTTTCTTCCCTTTTCTCCACTGAACTGCATGCATAAAATTCAAAAAGAAGTAGTATTCTGAAACAGACTAGTCATCCATTAGATTAATTTTCATCTCAAAACTGGTTTTAAACAGAAAAGAATATACGTAAAACCATATCAACACGAGTGTTTGCAACTAAGGAAAATGTGGACAAATTTCAATTCAGTGCCTGTTGACCTAAGTATCCACACACAGAAAACAAAGGCTTGATCTGTCTTAATGTATTCTTAGGTATATACACATAAACACATACAGAATGTCCTTTAAGGGTCAACACATTCTTGCTGACTTTGAAACAAATCTGAGGACATGTCAGATGCTTATTATCCTGAATATTTCCAGGGATTTGAAAAGTTCTTCCCTCTTTGAAAACTGTGTTCGAAGATAAACAAAATAAGAAAAAACTCAAGATTTTAAATTATTTTTTTTAAATGGATGCCGCTAAAATAATGACAAATCATTTTTACTTCAGCTGACATGATAGATTGGAGAGCTCAGCACATTACAATTCCTGTTCTTCACTAAATTTACTAAAGCTTATTTCAACCCAAGAATCTTGAGGGGTGACAATATAAATCCAGTTGCCAATACAAAGGTGAGCAGATGGTGTTGCTCTGCTGGGGAGCTGAGATGGAATAGCACATAAATGAGAAAGCAATCTCCTGATGGTTTGCTGTGTTTAATGCCTGAACTGAGAACTGGAGCTGCGCCAACTTGGCTTCCAGCCAAGGTCTTCACTGGATTCAAAGGAACCCTACAGCAGTTTTTATTCGATATTAGCTACCAAATGAATATTTGCAGGTAGCACTAACATACTGATACAAAGTACTGATTAGTAGTGCTCAATGCAAACCACAGTGAAAGGGAAGACATTATCCTTATTGACACAAGAGATCGAAAATTAATCCCTAAAGCTGCCGTCTCCCCTCTTTTGTCAGTCTTGGAGCAGTTGTTTGGTATGCACAAGTAATTCAAACTATTGTTTTTACAATCTCTAGAACTACTAAATGCTTTTCTTTTTCTAACCTTTTTTGTTTTATTAAAACTGTAAAGCAATATTAGGAGCAGATCTTATTTCCACCAAAGTCAACAGGGAACTTGTGGTTGACTTTTCTGTTGCTTGGATTGGGCCCACAAGCAGCAACTAAACAGGTAATTCAGTGTACAGAACCTCTTCCCAGAATTAACATAGCCACTTTAGTTTAAGGGAAAAGGTTAATTTTCACTCCAGTAAGCAAGATCTCCAGTCACCAGAAGAAAATTCAGAACCTGGATTCAAGTCCACTTTATTCACAAAGGAAAAATTCTGAATGCATATGACTTAATTTAAATCTATGTTAATTCAACCATCCAGTTCTTCCTCCTCACCCTTTTCTTACCTTCCTTTGAAAGGCAAAGTGCACTACCATCTAACATAATCTCATATTTTTTTACTTGTGAAGTGCATTCAGTACTGTAAAGCAAGCCTTTCAGGTGGGCAAGGGAGAATGAAAGTGACTTTAAATCTACAATCTCGCTGTATGGACCTACTGTTCAAATCAGCATTAAGTGATATTTCCATCATACGCTGCTTTCTTACAGAGCAGAGGATACACAGAGATGGCTGACCTCATTCTTCAGGTTTCTTGCCAAGAAGTGTTCAGCTACATGGGCTGGAAGCACATTCTCCAGAAGCACCCGATTTAAATTCTCCATGGTTTCAATCTCCTCCCGCTCTTTTTTGAACTTGTTCTTCCACAGGAAGTCTAACCTACAGTAATATTCATTCTGTTACAAGAGGACACAGAGGTAAAGAAACAATAGGCATCTTGTCCTGCTGGAGTACAGGTTTAAGAGACAAAATAAGCACAGTACATCACCCCTACAAGGCTGTTATTTGGCCACTCAAGTACAATTTCAGACACCACAGAAATCAAACCCCAAGCACGCAATATGTGACATACATTTCATCAAACTTACATGGCCCTCCCAACAAAGTGGCCCATAAAAAGTCCCAGGAAAAACTAATGAAGTGCCTTAAGCAATGAAAGGTTTATTTATTTACTCTCAGGCTTTAGTAGAAATTAATTTCAGAAATCAAACACTGTTACATAAACAATTTACAGTTTTGCAACTTAACATGGTTTCCTAAGTGTAGAATCTCACTTACAATAATGGGCAATTGAGGAACACCCTTTTACCAACTTGTACTTATGTCATGCAATCAGCCTTATAAGCAAAAACACCCTACTACTATAACATGCCTTAAGTTTATCAAATCATTATCAGGTTATCAAAAATGGCCCAGTCAACTAGGCCAACCCAGTTGTTTGTTGGGTTGTTTTTTTAAATATCCCAGCAATGAAAATAACTGGAACTAGATGGAAACCTATAGCATTCTTGGAATATCAGTATTTTTGGAGATCTGGTTTCATGAATATTGTGTTGAAAAAAGAGGAAAAATGCATCTCTGTAGAGCTCTCCCTACTTCTTTGCAATATTGTTAATGTTTTATCAAAAAATCTATGGCATTATTACTACAGCAAAACCTCCACTGGCCTGACTATCTCATTTGAGCTGATATAAATCAAGAGCTATTTCACTATGGTTCAATGGTTTCATGTTATCATGCAGCCTCAGTGAAGACTATGCCATTAACCAGGGGAACATGATTATGATGACAGTCTTATTACAGAAAAATCTGAAAATGATAGCTAGTATTATTAGCAGTCAGTAAGCATTCACATAAAAAATTAGAGTAGTCCTGGTTGGACAGTGGCTGTCACAGATAAAAATGATTCATACATGTTTTGTTGAGATCACGGCCAAAGACAGTGTAGAAAGTTGAAATGAGATGGTATCAAAATGGTTTGGAAAGCTTTTAGAAAACAATGAAGGTAAAAATTGGTGGAGCAAAAAATGTATCTGCAAATACTTGCAAGATGAAAAAAACAGTACCCTCAGGTTGCCTTTAAATTGGTTGATAAAATCTGGGTTCTATTTAGGTACTTAATTATGTAAACAAAAAAGGTCATCCATACCATGAAATCCTTATTGACAAATTCTTTTGTGCTGATGCATATACTAATAAGGACAGAATGCAGACCTGAAATGCACTGCAAAAGAAATATTCTGGCTCTTCTGACACAAAGGTAACATTCTTCTGAAAGTAAAATGAAACTTCACATCTTAAAAAGGATCATGATGCATCCCAGAAATCTGGCCTTGAGATGTCAAATAAGCAAATAAGCTGGATATTTTCAAGTAACTACACGTTACTAAATGATATTTGCAGATTATAACCAAATGAAGAGTGGGCAAAGAAATGTTTGTAAAGGCAAACATGAAGGATCAGTGAACCTGAGAACAGGCTTCTGCAGGAACTTGGAAATAGGATTTTCTTGTTGTTCTCTGGCGTCATTCCTATACCAAATGGCAGTTATCCCTTCTATAAGAAGGCAGGTCATGAACAGGTTTTTTTTCCCCAAATTCACTACACGATGCAAAATACATGGAGTCACATTTTTAGAATGTCAGATTTGTATGTATATTACATATTTACACATTGAAGTTCCCCACACAGATGATAAATTCAACTGCTACCACCTGTATTCAAGCAGAAAAAAAAATATCCAGTCAAAACCTGGGATATCAAAATTACTTCCATAAATTGAAAAAAGTAAACTGGATGCCTGCTGAAATTAGGTTTCTATTGTGCCAACTTTGTATTGAAAAGAAAGGGTACTGGATAAGCTGAAGTCTTCAAAAGGATATATTTCTTTTTTTTAAGAGTTAAACAGATAATTTTATTTTCTGCTTTTTATTTTTATTGAATGAAATGTAGGCTGCCACAAAAAAAGGCAAAGAGAATTCAGAAATAATCAAACAGAATGTATTCTAAAATTTGTTTTGAAGTTAAAAAAAAATCATATCATATTTCAGAATGTCTATTCAGGCTTTTAAAACAAACAAAAAAAACCCCCACAAACCACACATTACTTTATTAAAATTTATTTCAAATTCTGTTGAGGTTTTTTGTTTGTTTGTTGTTGTGTTATTTTTTTTTAATGTTTGCATGACTTATCCAATTCAGTATACAGCCCATCAAAGATCCTGTTCAATCTTTGTAGCCTTACAGTCATATGAAAACCAAGGTTGTTTCCTATTTTAAATGTTATCTCCAGGACTTTTTCAAGATATCAGAATGAAAGTATCTCGGAATGGCTCTGCATGCACAATACCCTTGAGATACAAAATTTTCCTTCCTCACCTTATGCTGCTTTATTTGACACCATTTCCCAGGAGGTGAGCATAGTGGAACGCCCAAGGAGGCATGAAGGACACTGCATTCCTCCGGGCATCACAGATTAATTGGCTTCTGCCAGGACAAGAGACTACCATGCATCTGGGCAAGGAAACCCACAGGTTCAAGTCAGTGTTAACTTCTTGGGCGAAAGTAGTTAAGTGCAACAGGAACTGATTCATGTCTCACTGATTGCACAGAGATGGATTTATCTATATTTTTAAATTCTAGTGGGACACTCACCTGGGTCTGTTTTCAATATTTGCTTAAGTAAGAAAATGAACTAATTCTCCTCACTGAAAGAATGTCACATAGAAAGGAAAGATAGATGTCTACAGTCCGGGAAGATGAATGCTATGGCATTCAGCAAAGGGGCAGCAAAGACAGCACTGAAGCAGCTAAGATCATAGAAGTTAAGCCTAGGTTTTCATTCAAGTGAGGGAGCTAAGGAGATTCCACCTCACAGCCATTATTTGCTAACAGCAAGTCAAAGAAAGTATCTCAACATGGAGCATCAGCAGAAGATGCCATAATAAATCGATCAGCCAGAAGTCATCAGCTCAAAAGTAACCAAAATGAGAAGCTGCTAGTCTGAAACTTGCTGTGGAGAGCCAGCTCATTCAAAACAGCCACAACATTAATCAAATGACAAATGGTAAGGATATAATGCAGCTCTTTGGAAAAGAACTGTGCTGACCCTGGGAAAAATAGAACAAGTTACTTTGAAAAAAATATGCTAAGAAAAATAGCTATTTAGACATATCAGCTAAAGCTGATACAACGGGGGAGAGCTGACATCTCTTCTGTGAACATGCCTTCATCTGTTATGAAGAAGTCAATGGGCAATAAGAGTGAAGTTGAAAAGAAGTTTTCCTTACATTCTTTCATAAGGGCTCTTGAAAAGGCTACGTTATCTAAGAAGAGAAGGAACCTCTCACAGAATAAAAGCTTAGTAAAAGGCAGAACAGAGATTACAAATAAACAGTTTTCATTGCTGAGGGAAGTTGCTATAAACATCTGGGCAGTAAAACAGCCAATGAAGTCCAGTGTGGACAAACACAATACAATCCATCATGGAAAAAAACAAAAATATTCACCTAGCCTACAGAGTAATGGGCTATTTGTTATTTTAGGTACTGATAAGAAATGATACTGGTTATGCAAATTGGGCCATAAGAGAGATTTAATACTCAATAGAATTTACATGTGAGCATACACCTTACACAGTCTAGCCCATACCAATCTGCATTCTCCTGGGCAATGCCTGAGCAGGGTGCAATAGCTGCTATTCTTAACATATTGTCTGCCTGCTGCCATATTATCTTCAATTAACTGTAATGGCACGCATGCAGAATGAAATGCATCACTTGATCTCAGTGTCAGGGATCAGTGTTGGCATGACCATAAAAAAAAAGAGCAGTTCTACTTTCAGCCTCACATCTGGCTGCTCACTCCCATTCTGTGCTTATTCTTTTGTCACAAGCATTGCTACAGCCACACCGTAAAACCAGATCTGGAAATAGATCTGTCAGCAACCCAACCATTTTTCCAGTTAACTTTTAAGGCAGATTTTTACCCTATTTTGAGCCACTCTACAGTTCCACAGGCAGCTGTGCCAGTACAAATGAGGCGATAGAACAGTTAAGAATGAGTAGCTGAGGGAAGGCCTACTTCTTTCAGTAAAGATGCTAGTTCTGCAGATAAAAGTATTAACTGAACCTGAGAATTAAATTGGCTTATATAACATGCAATGACATACTATCTCTCTGGCTCTTCTTTCCCATTCAACCAGAGACACACATTCACCCTCCTGCTTTTGTACAAGGACAGGCATCTCTCTGACCAGTGGTGGCAGGTTCACAAAGCAAGGCCTGTAGGGAAAGCATTCTTTGGTTTAGATGATCTTTCTGGTTATCCACTCTGGGGACAGAGGAGCACCAATGCCAGCTTGAGGGAAATGGAAAGACCACCATTTTCATAAGCAGCTATTATCTCTGGCATTGTTAAAATAATCAGATATTAAAAGAAGAGACACAGTATTACCCGCAAATCAGAAAAATTCAATAGCAAAGAGAGAAATTACTTGTATTACTTCTCTGTGGAAGAAGGGTAAGGAAGAACTTTACTTTGCCTACACTGCCAAGATGTCTTGACAGTGTTCTGCAAGTGCCACTCAATGAAAGTAGCAAGCAGAAAGTTTAAGAACAAGACACTTTCACAGGACATTTTATCAAGTTGTGAAATTCATCATGAGAAAGTGCTGGGAAGACCCAGAAGATTAAAAAAGATTAAAAATGGATCAAACAGTGTAACAGAAAGCAGAGCAGCCAATAGTTATTAAAAATTGCCACAAAAATGTCAACTGGCAGAAGGTGAGAAGCATATGTTCCTGGAGGGGTCACTCTACACAGATTCACTTCCTCCCCTATTCTTTTCCAAAGCATTTGCTATCAGTCAGTATCACTAGCGGTAACTTAAAATGGCCAGTCTTATGCCAAGTAAGCATTAAAATTAGTTCACAAAGTTTTCTAGTTATCATTTAGACTTTGCTTGGGAGTGTTTGAAAACACAGAGGTTTTTTTGCCTTCCTTAAGGAAGAATAAATTAGCAGAAAAATCAAAGGCAAAAGACTGAAGAGCTGCAAACAAATGGTATCATGACAAGGGTCCTGAACCTATAGCTCTGAAAACAAAGACTTTTTCCATTACAGAATCATTTTGTAGTTGGTGTGACAGGGAACAATACCTGCACACTGTTGTATGCAAAGAAAACTTTCTTGTTGATGTGACTGAACCAACAAATAAACACTCTCCTTTTTTCCTCAGTGTAGCACCCAGAGACTACAGATTGTCAACTGGTGCGATGAAGTATTTATCCTGCTTTTCAAGAGGAAGTAGTTGTGCTCCAGCCCCACTATGCGACCATCATCAAATTAGCAAACTCATACTGTGCTGGCAGCAAGACAGATGAAGAATGTTATTTCTAACTCAAGAAGGGTGCTCCCCACTACAGCAAATCTTTGGATCTTCTACTGGAGAAGCTGCCAGCTGAGAATTTTTTGTCTAGTAATCTGCAAAGCCTGCCTGTCAATTTAAATGACAGTCATTATATTTAAAGGAATTGTAATGTAAATGAGTGATTTAAAGACAGTCTGGGATAAGATCCTTCCCAAGGCTATGGGGATACAGGGTGCTCATGAGATCCCACATGGATTGCTTCTTCCATCCCAGAGCCCTCTCATGTGCACTGCATCATTCCTGGCGCAATGGGCTGGAGTTGCGGTTTTAACCATGGATGATGGAGAGACCAGAGGATTTATATAAGGAATTGCCCTTGCACCTGTCCTCAGCTTCATAGAAAGTAAGGCCATTGACATCACACTGGCACTGAAAAAGCACAACTGGTTAACAAAAAGAGTAGCTTCCTGTTGGGTCATAGTTTCAGTGCAACTATGGCCTCAGTATGTGGTACACTTCTGTTTGCATGCTACATTGTTTCTGTGTCTTCATCAAATTGTAATAACTGTGAAGAAAATAGCTTGTAATTAAGCAACTAGGGAGACAGCAGATGGATGCAGACAGATGGGATCACACTAGGAAGCCATGAGACAATATTGGTCAACATGACAAGCAATAGTCACAGCACACTATCAGCATAATGTTTACAGGCTCAATGACAGTTATTGGTGAGTTTTAAGGGCATATTGGAAGGTAATAAAAAAAATAGCTTTTTAGATGCTGTGACACTTCTTTGCAAGGGGGTGGGGCAGAAAGGAGTAAAGGTGTCAGAAAATTTATAGCACGCTTGAGAAGGTAGCAGGTTGTATGTGAACGCTGTCATTGTGTCCACTGATGCAGAGAAGTGTGCATCTTACCTGTCTGCCCAAAACCAGTAATGTGATGAAGAATATAAACAAAGAAATTGAGCCCATTGTCTTCAGGTCTTTCAGTATTCCTGGCCTACAAAATATAAACATAAGTAAAGCAAGCTGCTCAAAAGTTTAAACAAAATTACTTCAGTACAAGAATAAGACCACGATTTACACTACTTTCTGGTATGTAAACCGCGACAATTTAAACATGATATGCTTTATTATTTGATGAAATATGATTAATTCCATTATGTAGGTATAATTACTCTTCTGCATTTTGTGCAAATGTGCCTACAATTTGAAATCCGATAAGGATTTAGTAAAAATTATGTCCTTGTTTGCTTACAAATGAAGAGTATTTGGTGTTTATTCTATACAGGCAGATTAAAAAGAGATTTTTTTTAATTTATATAGTAACACTACTTCCATAATGGAGAGCTTGATTGTATCTAATGAATGTCAAGAAACAGAAAATAAAGCACCTAAGTTCCAAGATGTCTTTTCACCTCAGAATTACAGGAGGCACAAACTAGTTCTCGTACAGAGTTTATTAATAGCTCTGCTTTGGGAAAAGACACTACAAGTGATGGAGAACAATTTTCCCTAGCACTCTCCTACAGATGCCACTGAAAGAAGAACCTTGGTGAGAGATTTAGGAAGGAATATACCAACAGACACACATCTTGACTGGCAAAATCAGGGCTGCCAGAAGCACATGCTCAATCTAACCTGTTCCATTGTTCTCCATCCCATCACACAGATATCTGTTCCTCTAATGCAATGGAAAAAAAAAAACGACCTGGGTTTGTTCATTTAATCTTTAGATTTAAGTGCAAAGAACACACACTTTTAAAAAACTCAGATCCTTTTCCATGGCTGTCTTTGTGTCCTAAAGATCTCAAGAAGCTTACAGCACAGGAAGAAGGATACTAGAACTCTATTCTGAGCATTCAGTTTTTCTGCTGTGGTACATGCACTGCACACTCAGCCTGCATAAAGGAGAATCTCCTCTTTGATTGAAAGTGAGGTAGAAATTACAGGTGTCCAAATATTACTTTATACAGCAGTACTTAGAATTGAGTCATAATTTTGGTTTTACGTATCATCACCTCTAACAAAGATTTCAGCAGTCTCACAGAAAAATTAACACACAAATTCATGAGCACAGCAAAAAAATTCCAAACTGTTGGTTTATTATTGTTTTCAGTAGCTAAGACTGAATTTGTAGAGCTTTAAGACAATGTGCTAGTTTGAGGAAGTTGATTTTATTTGGCTTGCAGCAAATGTCTTAACAGTGTTAATTATATTCAGCCTTAGGCCTTAACTACCTTCATGATAACGTCTTCCTAATGTCCTTTATTAAAAAAAGGCAAATTAAACCATAGTCTATTTCCTATAGCATGTGCCCAGACTTGTTTATTTTATTCTGATGCTCTAAGGTGTGACATTAAATCATATATTAACTGCAGCGTGACAATGTTTTTAAATTATGACTTGTAGATTATATAGCTAAACACGCAGAAAAAAATCTGTTCCATGACTGAGAAATGCCATAGGTAGTATTTAATTTCAGTTAATTTCAGAAGGACTAGAGTTATCCACCTACCTTCTAAGAGGTGCCATTGCATACATAAATTTGCTGTAGTCATCCAGCATGGGCCCATGAGTGTGCAGAAGGATAACATTGTAGCCCACCAATGCAATCAACATTATCACCATTTTTAACTCGTAATTAATCCTCAGGAAAACAGAACAGGAAATGAGCCCTAATATGCAGCTGTATATAAAATACTGACAAAGAAAAATCAAATGGAAAATATTTAGAATTTTATTCCTGAGTAGAACATCATACATAATAAAATGCTAGTATTATTGACTGACCACTTAAAAATGAAATCCTTTACAACCCGGGACATTATGGTTTACAGACAGTCAACAATAACCAGATGTTGCTATTTAATAAAATAGATAATTTTTCTTACTAGGCCTCAATTCACCCAAAACTCAACAGAATCCAGATTATACTCCTAATTTTCACCCTTTGTCATTTTTTTGTTTACTCTTCTGCAGTAGTGAGGAGAGCCTATTCATGGAACACCACTCCTGGTGTTGAAGTCTAATTTAAGAGTCCACTGCCCGCAGACTGACAAAAGATTTATTCCTGTGCCACTGTACGGTTTTAACTCATGTTTGAGTTCAGTAAGTACCCTGTATGTATCACTACCATAAGGCTCAACGTGAAATGTCTAAATATCTGAAAACAACAATTTCATTGCCTATATTTGCTATATTTATAAACTGATGCAATAGTTGTTATGAACCTCATAGATACACAAATTTTACAAACTGCAGAAATACAGCTGGCATGAAAAATAAAAAGATTAATAACATGGCGTATGCATAATACAGATATAAAAAAATCTGTCCAATCAATCCTCTTATGACTACATAAGAACACATTAAGTTGCTAAAAAAAGGCCTTTTCTTTCCTATGTCATATATATCAATAAAAATATGCACGGTTGAAATTAAATTCCTGGAAAAATACTTTCTCTACATACTTTCTGGAAATTTATTAGGGCATCAATATTAATGTTAAACCAGGAATTATACATTCTCACGAGGATTGTTATCTTAGACTTTAACATACAGGGCCTTTGCCAAAGACGCTTCCTGAAAATTACAGTCCTGCACCTTGTAAGGAAGTCATATTTTCTGGAGCTACAAAGCATTCTATTTCTAGATATGCTATTTCAGACCACTGTTGACTTGTTGATGGCAGCACTTCTTGACAGAACTTGAATCACTGTATACTAAATGTTGGAGGAACACTAAGAAGAATAATTTTCACAGCACCCATCAGACAGAATTGATCTGCCATCTCAGTCTCTGCCGTTACTGCAATTTGCTTGCAGATCTGCTTGAAATAAACAGAATTAGCTACTGCTCAGAATCACCAAAAATAAAACTTCTCTGATGCCTGCATTCCACAGGAAGTCACATACTGTAGGGGAATAAAGGTAACTGGCATTCTAGCTAGAATCTTAAAAGCATGCATGCAGTTACAAAGCAGGGAAGACACTGGAAAACAATGATTTGGTGAAGGAACAGTCAAAATAACCAGATACAGAAAATCAGGACTAGTGGAATTATTGACCTATGTATATCATGAGAACTCTGGTCTTTGTCAAAGACTGCAGCCTGTCAAACAAATGGCAGCCTGTCCCAGGGGCCAAGCATTCTGCTCTCTGTTCATCAAATGAGCATGAACATTCCTACAGAGAAATTAATGCCCAGCTGGGAAAAAAATTACCTCTTTTGTGTGCAGGTATACTGGGCTTGTTTCTTAGTGAAGATCTACGTTCATCCTACACCTCTGTACAACTTTCTACTGAAGAAAGAAATGTGCTCTGACTACACAGGCATTGAGGCTTTCTCCAAGGCAGAGTTGCAGTGATACCTATCCTTTGCAGTGACCCTGATGGGAATATCATTGCACACTGAAGTGTTAGCAACCCACACAGCAGTGAAGCTGACCACCTGTGCTGTGCTCTGCATATCCCTCAGCTGCAGGATAATCTCAGCCAGCTCGGCCAACTCAAGCAACCAAGGAGCTTGCAGGCAGCTCCCACTTGGTAGCAGCAGTTATGCCACCTCTGTGGCTTCTCCTTTATCTAGTGCAGCAAGTTCTCATGGATGCTTTTTGTCTGACAGCAGAAATGACAAATAGAAATGTTTATTTTTAAAAAAATCCTGTAAGAGCTCAAAAGACAAAAATATTGGGTAACATCTCCACAGACGGAATCTGTACCTCACACTATTCCTGACTGCAGAACTGTCTGGTGCTGCACAATTCAGGGTTCCTAATACTGAAGGGATGTAACTCCATCTACCCCCTTTTTTCTCTTTGTGCTAGCTCCAATAAATGGTATTTTAACCAATACCTTACAGAATTTGAGTGCCTTTCTTACCTGGATCACAGGCCCTGTGCCTTGAACAGCACACTACACCCTTACGATCAACCCCAGTCCATTTGAGCTCTTCTCTGAAAAATGTAAGACCTACAGTTCTGTGGTTATAAAGATCTTTACTAAAGTAAAAAGGGATTCTGCTCAATATGTCTGCGAAGAAAAACTTTAGAAGGAAGTAATTTTGGAAATCCCTAGCCAAATAAAGTGTATTCTAAAACTGCATCTTTTAGAAGTCAGGATTAGGACTTTATTTATTTAATATGTGGAGGTGGCAGCACTAATACCAGACTGTAGTTTATCACAGGAACAGACATGCATGACTTGAAATCTCCCAGGCCTAACTTCTATTATACGGAAACAACAGAAGCATCATAGCAAAACCAAACAAAACTCAACACAAGCAAAGACCTAACTTACTGCGTTACCTTTGATGCATCTTGAAAAAGAACAAGAAAACAAACAATACAACTCAGAAAAGTTATTCTGGGTGCTGGGTGAGGGGGGAGAGTCAATTTGCTTCAAAATGAACTAAATTCTGTTGGGGCTGAAGTAAGTAAAAAATCTCTTGTTCATTCATTTTAGATAACATAGTCTATAGATCTGTCAGGTCCTTTATCGTAAATCACAGGAAGTTTATCTATATGAATAAAGGTTAAAAGCTAACACACAGATTCAAAAGATTGAGTTTTTAATATAAGGAAACAAACTTTGCAGCTTAAGTATTCAGTATCTCATTTGGTAAAGAGAAGAATTCTGGAGTTTTGGTGGGTTTTTTTTTCATTTAAGATCAAAAGTAGTAACTCAAATTCACAGCTTTTTCAAGCTAGAAGTTGTGCAGTTGTGCAAGGTGAAAATTATGTGTATTTGAGAGATACTTAATAAAAATAGGTTGTGGAAAAAGTTTTTAAAAACTCTACCCAACACAACTTTTTCATTTATTATTATCAGAAGTGACATTTTAACAGATTTTTTGTGCCAATTAAGTCAAAAGAAGACGCAGGCACCTTTCCATACTTGGTGACATTTAGTTAGCTAAATTTGAAAATAAGAATCAAAGTCATGCTGTGCTGTAGCTTTACCAGGGAGATGCTGAAAATCTCTAAGTAAGTGCTGCAGTTACTGTAACTGGTTTGGTTTTGTTTGTTTTTTTTTTTTCCCCAGGATGGGTCTATATATAACTAACATTTTGTTTTTGTGTGTGACTAAGGATTGTTCAGCTTGACACAGTGAGTAGCTGTTTTATGCAAAACACATTGTGTGGAAATCAGCACACACCATTCTAGTACTGGTTTCATCAATCCTGCATAGAGGGAAAATAATCTCCCTTCTCCTCTTGCTGCCTCCTACTTATTCATCCAAAGACTGTTGACCTGTTTTGGCACAATATACAGCCTATTATGTTTAACTGCGGGTCTTTTGTAATCCCTTTAAGAATCATTGTTCTCTAGAATACAGATCACATTTTTTTCCAGCAATGTCCTTGCTCCTCTTCTTGCATGTGCTACTCTGCTTTTGTTCACCCTAATACATTTTCAAATCAGTTCAGTTCTTTTAAACAGCCTATGCAGTGGTACATGAGTGTTGTATTTCTCCCCTTCTCACCCAGCCTCTTAATCAAACATGCAATGACAGAAGGGTGATGATCATAGATTTCACATTTACTGCCAGGACAATGATAAAATCTGAATATTTTCAGGTCTACCACTAGTCGTTATGAAACACATTTGTGGACCGACACGGCTTTCAGTGCACAGTCTGCCTGGCAGTTGCTGTGTATTCTCCTGTAACCTTGTAACACCCATTTGTTGGCATGGGTGAGCTAGGCTTCCTAGTTATCGTGCTATTTCCTGCTTTTTAACCTGACGCTCATTAAACCCTCTATTTTCAGAAGTACTAACCTCCTTTCACTTCCTACTTACTTCAAATCCAGTTAGAGGTGACTGAAAAAAAAACCCAAGCTTTTGCTACAGACTTAAAAAATGGTGGGTGTTTAACTTCAAGCAGATCCAGCAACAGTCAATTTAGTGCAATTGTTGTAAATAAAGAAAGAAATGTAAAAATGGACTTACCGGTAGGAAAAAACAGTTGTTTTGTATACACCACCGTGTCTGATTACTCAAATTAGGAAAACTTGCATTTGACGAATTAAGAACTGAGGGAAAAGCTTTTACAGCATTATCCAGGAAAAACTAGAGAAAAACAACATACAATCCATTAGCTTGTCAGCTGTTTAAGGTCAAAGTAGAGAAGACAAATGGCGAAGCACTGAAAGCCTTGCCAGTAATCATTTAACTTTGGTATTTCACTGCAAATTGAAATAGCAAAGGGAAAATGACATCACTTGATTACTTGTTCCTGCATCTTCAGACAAAACCATGCTTATTAGCCTCTACTTTCCATTTTAATAAAAGACGAAAGGCTCTTTGTTACATTACTTTCGTATTTCATAAACTCACACAAAGACAGACAATGATTAAGTAAATTCAATATGAATAATTCCTGGATTTACATCAACTCAACCTCCTGTTTAAACACAGGAAGAATTAAAGAATAGAAAATAGAAAATTAAAGAAGAATAAGAAGTCTTTATTGAAGTTGATTTACACAGGTGTAATAACATAATAACAATATCAATAGTATTGGTACTAATGTTATTGAAACAGGAGAGTGAAACCAGTATCTCCTGGGTCATCAAATTCAGCCAGCTGATGTCACATGAAACCATCATCATAGAGCACCTCTTAAATGTATTGATCCAATGCTTCCTTAATGAGTTAGATTTCTGTGACTACATTAATTACACTGCTTTGAATCTCACCACTTAAATAGTTTCTACATTTAACCAATATTCATGGCTAGTTCTCATGTTTTTCTTCTTGTGTGAATCTCATTCTTTAACTTTTAGATATCTCCTTTCTCTCACTAATATTCTTTTTAATATTTAATGCTATCACAGCCTTCATTATGCTCAGAAAACTATGTTTTTCTAGTGTCTTCCTAGAAAACAAGCTCTTCATTCCCTTAATCATTCTAGTAGTCTCTTTCAATTCAACCTTCTTGGTGACCAAAACTGCAAACACACTTCCCAGATTTTATCAGTGAGTCATGCAATAGCATTAATACTGATTTCACAGAAGTATGTTTTCATACTATCCTAGAATGACAGCTCCCTTGCTCACAGCTACAAAACCTCAATAGCTTATCCATGCAAGTGGGGCTCAGAGAGATCATGAGGTTATACCAGCTGAACACATTGTTACACATTGGCACAATCCCAGCCACTAAAGTCATGCTCAGCGAACATGAGGTAGCTTTCCTTCACTGGGAACCACTTAGGTAAATGGGATTTATACTTACCTTAAGAGCAGTCACATGGATGGTTATTGTGATCTAGCTGAGTTGTCATCAAATCCACAGAATTAATGAAAACCCTGAATTCACTGCATCTCCACCTGATGGGCTTCCAACTTGTATCAGAATTTCTTGTCACTGATCTGTCAGACCAACCATAACCTTGCACTCCGTACTACTAAATTTCATCCACGTTCTTTTACTCAGCTCCTCAGGTGCTTCCTTTCCAAAATCCCAAGCTTTCCTCACAGACGTTGCCCATTACCTTAATTTCATTAGAAAATTTCACAGTCTCTCTCATACAGAAATCCATTCCAGGCTGACCATTGCAGAGCTCCAAGGGTTGCCTCCTTCTCACCTGTTGTTCTCTGCAGATCTAAATGCCTCATCCCTGTCTTTATCTACTGCCCCAGAGAAAACTGCACAGTTTCACTCAGAGTAATCAAATGTGGATCAAAAAGATTTATCAATTTACAACTTAACACTAGATCTGGTCAGCCACAGCTCTGTATAACCAAGTCTTGAAAACCTCCAAGGATGGAGACTCCCTGGTCCCCCTTGGCAACATGTCACAGCACTTTACTACATATACAGTGAGTTTTGGTTCGGTTTTTTTTTTTTTTTTCTTTTTTATAGACTATCCAACCTCCCAAGCCACCACTCATGGTCAGTGATATGTTTTGTGGTGCTGCTGTGAAGAGTTTGAAATTGTTATCCCCGTAACACTACTTCAACAGAAGCAGGATCAGTTGTGGACTTGAGAAGGTGATCGGTACACCACCTGCTACCAAGACCGAATTGGCACTCACCTTTGTTTGTACAGTTGCACGTTCAGGTTGTTTTCCTTCACTAACACGATTCTCTGTTTATGTGAAACTACACATAATTAACCTGCAATCAGTAACCTATACTAACGGTAGTGTCAAACCAGCTTTTGTCAATCAGCTGTTTTCACTCTTAGGTCTCTGCTTCCTGTTACAAATTTCTGTGCTTCTTTTATACTACTTCTCACACTATTTCCTTCCTTACTTCAGAAATCCTTCTTGGTTACTGTTTAATCCAGCTGGTGTTGGTCTTCCTCTTTAACAGGAACAATCCTGAGCAAAGGTCCTCCAGACAGCTTTAAGTATTTAATCCCCTTTCCTGCCCCCAACATTCGCATCTTAATAGGTGTCATTTGAAAATGGTGAGAAAAAAGATTTCCCACATCCCACCAATAGTGCATTTCCTTTTTTTTGCAAACATGAAATAACTATATTTTGTTTCAGAATCCCATCCCACACATGTTCACATAGCAAAAGATTAAATACAATAAAGAACTCAAACACAATTATACTATATAAACATGTATATGCGCATGTCTATTTACATCTCTTAATTTATATTAAAGCATTTTAGTTTTGGTTTTGAGCTTTGTACAGGGTATTTGTGTCCTATAAACATTACCTGCATACACAGAATGCTATGTGAAATGTGGTGTATCCGTGAACACATAAATAAACGCAGAAAGGGGAAAAAAAAAAAAAAAGGATATGGAAATGTTGTCATCTCCCGTAAGCCAAACAACAGTTATTTCTGAATGATGTGTTTGTACTTGCCTTTCTTGTCTCTCATCAGTTACCTACATCTGCTATCACGCTTTGGAGATATATATTGTTCTTCAACATAGTATTTTTTTAATAGACAGCTCAGTCCTACTAAGCAGTCACACCTACTCAAATGACTCAAATGAAAGCAATATTTTTTATGAATACCAATGTTTGCCAGGGAACAGCTGAGCACACTACCATTAAATTCTCATTTTAACTTCATGTATTCCAACAGCTTTTTCTTTTCTTGTGTTTGTATCATCTGCAATCTTCAGTTGTGAGATTTTGCCTCACGTGTTGAAAATACTCCTGTGCTGCTACTTGTTTCAATAGGAGCCATGAGGTGACAGATTCTCCCCTCACAGCATGGTTAGTGTATCTCCCTTGTTATCTGACCACAAAACTGCAAAAGACTAATACACTGGATCATCAACATCATCATCAGAATGGTAGAATCAACTAGGTTGGAAAAGACCTTTAAGATCAACAAGTCCAACCTCTAGCCAAGCACTAACAAGTCCACTACTAAACAATGTCACTAAGGGCCTGATCTTCACACTTTCTGTGCACTTCCAGGGATGGTGATTGCACCACTTTCCTGGGCAGCCTGTTCCAAAACCTGACAATCCTTTCAGTGAAGAAATTGTTGCTAATAACAAGCCTAAACCTCCCCCAGTGCAGCTTGAGGCCGTTACCTCTTGTCCTGTCACTTGTTATTTGGGAGAACAGCCACCTCCTTGCTCCATCCTCTGTTCAGGTAGTTGTACAGAGCTATAAGGTCACCCTTATCTTACTAAAAACAAAGCCAACTTTCTCACTGAGGTACTTTGAACCCTTTTCCTTGCCTCATATGAACATGCAACTATACTTTCAATTAATTTTCTGATGTTCCAGAAGAGCTATGCAATCTTCTCAAGACACAATGCTCTACGGTTTTTATAGAGCTGTTTTAAACTAAGTTCTTTATGTTTGTACCCTACTCTTGTTCAGCAGAACATAGAGTGTATGTTCAGTGCGCTTTTACGTATGGCAGAAGCATGCAAGTCTGGTATCACAAGTTGAAATACGGGATTTACATTTTCCTCAACACACACAAAAAGAAGCACCAACGCTTTTGTTCAGCACTGTTCTTTTGCTAAATCTCTAAGGCAAACACGCAGGACTCCTCTCTGTTTTTAATTCTTTTACCAATTCTCCAAATATCCATGTAACTTATGAGAATTTTCTTCCCAAAATGAGTATCACTACTTCTTATGAAGCAGTGATGTGAATTCCTTCCTTCCTGCAAGTTAGGCTGGCAGCTGCATCAGGAATTTATTCCCAGATCCCCACATGAATGCCCCAGGAAAAATATGGAGAATCCCAAATTCTGGTATCATTCCTTCCCCAGTGAAACACTAGAATAGTTTGCCCAGAGAGGTGGTAGATGTCCTGTCCCTGACTATTCTATGATTCTATGATCCTGTCTGGGGACCTTCCTGGGACAGTATAGCCCTGAGATCCTGTCACTGTGCCAAGAACCATTCATGCATTTGATGCAGAAGTCACTGAAACAAAGAGTTGTTCCAGGTTTCTTTTATCATTCCATGTTCCTCAAGATTACGTGAATCCCAGAGGATGGTGAGGTACAATCATTTGATGTACTGGATACAGTCATTCATTTAGCTTCCAAGAATCAACCCTTTGCAGTCATGCAGTCCTACCACCTCTCTGAGATGTCTGGATTGTTCCCTGCAGTATACTTTCTCATATTTAGTTTAATACAGGCCAGTTTCACAAAAACATTATACCTCAGCCGCTGATTGTTGCCCTACTCTCTATATATCACCAGATCTAATTCTCAATGGAAGCAACATTAGTCACCCTCTTCCTTCAGCTAAGAAGTATTCAATACTTATGTTACATTACCCGTTTTTTAACTTCCTTCCACTGATGATGACTACATACCTCTCGAATGTGAAGACTAGATTTAGATGTCTGCTGAAACAGCTAATTTGAAATAAAATTGCACCCCCCGTCTTTTCTAATGTCCCTTGACCATAAAGGCTGAGTTTTATTTGACATTTTGATCTTAATTATGATATATTAGGTGTGGGAGAGTTAGAGGCTTTTTATCTCCATTAAATCTTAATGGCTACATTTCGCCTTTGTCTACTGAAAGAGTTCACGGAAATAAATGCAGTTAATGGACTCTGCTACTAAGTACATGTTGCTTGGAGATATAATAATGATACTTCAGAGTCTCTCCCACAATTTGCTATTAATATTAAGGAAATGCAAATTTCACAATCACGTTTAAAGTAATTTTGCTAGTCAAACTATTAAGGTTTAGTTTCAAGGTGGGAATTGTACTTAAAATTATCATCTCATGAATATCATGGAACATAATTATTTGTAATGCTGCAGTCACTACTGATAAGGCACAAAGACTAAAATACAGCCTATTAGGTTTTCCTGTAACATTTAGTCCACATAAAAATGGATGTGAACCAATAAAATTAAAATCTGTTCCTAAAAATGATATACTAAACAACTGTTTTTTTGCTAGAATGTCTTTTACTAGCTGAAGGCCAAATTTGAAGTGAGCTGTACACAACAGTAGAACTTTAAGAAAAAAACAGTTGCTGACCATATCTTCTTTTACACTTTTTAACTTAATAAATAACTATATAGTTGCATGAATTCTAACTCAAAGTATGCTTTAAACCCAAGTAGGTTATTTCATTTCTTCTTACATATTTATAGAGTTCAAAATAAGAGAAAAACTAATGTAATCTTCATTTCACAAGCTCCTCCATCTCTGTTTTTTTTCCCGTAATATGGCAAATAATTTTTGCTTGGCTAAAGATTATCATTCATAAAGGCATACAGTCTTCAGCTGAGGACAAGAAATGATGGAAAATCAACAGCTTTTCAGAATAATTGTTTCCATTGCTTACTGTCTTCACTGATGAAAAGTGAGCTTGTCATTTCCAGCCAAAATTTCTTTGAGTTTTTCATCTGCTAACCTTAAACATCAAGTTCAGTTAGCTGAATTGTAAATTTTGAACATGGAATTGTTTTGGAATCTATCTCCTCTCCCTAAAAAAAAAACAAACAACAAACCCACAAAAGCAGGAGAAAGAGGGAAACTACCTACTTTTCTGAAGAAAAACAATAAAAACAAAATTAGGATCATTTAATAGACTAAATCAAGAGAAAGTTCACCAGAAATTTCAAGTGTTCATCACATCATTACATCATTCTGACAAGCCTAGTACTTAGTGTAACAATGAGTAAGGCTCCCCTGAAATGTTGTGGGAAAACAAATTAAACAATGTAGGTATTACCGATCTTTAAGTCCTTTGTGATCCTCAAGTAACAAAAGTACCATCAACTGAAAGGAAGTGCTGAAGTGCAAATCTCACTCATTTAAAATGTGACTAATATCTATGCATTAATGTTGGAGTGGAAACATTACCTAAATAAATATTACAGTTCCCATTTTGCAGATACAGGACTGAGCTGGAACACTCAGCTTTCAGAGGTTTGCAAACAGAATCAGGCTCAGCCAGCAAGGCAAAGCAAAAGAAGTTTTCTGATCACACATACTGCTCATGCTATTAGCCAACACATCCTTCAGAATAAACGAGGACATTATGATTCAGGATTTAGGCAGATTAATGACAGAGCTACTCTGCATTTGCTGTAGTTACAAAAAGAATAAAATTACACAGATTTTGCATATTAGGAGAGAAAAGAATAAGAATAGGTTGAAATGCTCAAACTAGAGGACAGTCTTAACAAATCCATAGTTTGGTACTTTTGAAGTTTTGATGTAACTGATTTTGTTTTCCTTTTTTTTTTTTTTAAAAAAAAAAGAGAAGCACATGAAATTCAATCACACATAAATCATGATCATTTTGTGATTAGCAGAGAATTACAAATCTGGATACAGCTTAGTTTCACACAGTCTTTCACAGAGTCATTTTTTGAGCAATACTCTGTTTCTAAACAAAGCATAAATGAGCAAGGAATTTGAACAATTCAAACCTGGGATTTAACTACCTTTAATTTCTTATAAATTATATTTTATTTTAATAAACTTAGCCAGGATCTGAGCTCCTGCTGAGCATCATGTTGGCAGAGGTCCCCATTATACAATATGCTTTCTGTTGCTCTGCTTTACAGTTTTGTTCTTGGCAATCATTATCATATAGGTTCCTGGCATATCCAAGGGCCATAAATTTGACATCTAAACAAATACTGAACAGAACAAAACAAAACAAACAGAAAAAAAATACCCCTTTTCCCCTTACCATGTTGAATACAGCCATAGTTAATATTATAGCAGTGGTTGTCAGTGTGAGAGTGATTCGAGGCCAAGGACGGTTTGCAATTATTCCAGATGATTTCAGAATCCATAACAATGAAGCTGATGCTTTCTTGCTACATTGCTAAGTGCAAAGAGTTTAACAAAGAGAAAACAAAAATAGCTTTAGTATTTTTGATTACTATAAACAAGGGTAGAATTAAGAAGACTTAAGGTTGAAGGCAATTAATCTTGAAACACTGTACGGAAGTATTCAACTATTATATTCTCCTGAGTTACAGATCATGATTATACATGCAACTAAATGCAAATTTCATTAACATATCTGCCATAATATAAATTATGGTAAATAATTATAATTTGCAAGTACCTTATTAAACATTCATTACATATTGCTAATAATAGCAAGTGCAGAGTTGTCAGCAATATAATTACCCCTAATACTAGTAAAAAGCAAGCAAACAAACTGACCTTCCCTGTCTCAATTGAAAGAGAATATTTAGTAGTTTCTGGAAACTTCAAAATGTAAGTAATGACTGTGCATTTTTTGACAGAGACAAAGGTTTCCTCCTGCTGGATAAAGCCTGCATATATAGGTACATTCCTGGCAGCCTACAAAATAGTAGGGTTTCTGAGTTTTTCTTTCATTTTTTTTGAGACTTCTTTGATAATTTATTTTAAGTGAAAGGTAACTCAGCAAAGAAAATCAACCTTCCCTAAAACTGTCTAGAAAACAAATAAGCATTCCATACAATTGGACTTACAATTTAACACAAAGAGTATTTACTGAATAGAAAATTTTTGTTATGTAGTGGCAAAAATGAACAATGAAAAACTGACTCATTTAACCTGCTTCCAAGAACATGCTGCAAAGCCTCTGTTCATATATGCATAGTGCCTAGAGGCACAAGATGCTCACACAGAATAAACAACAATTTGTGGCACATCCAATAAATATTAATTTGCCAAAATTTAGCAGTGAGGAGATAAGCTTGCCTAGAAGAATCTTGTGCCCTTTCCAAATGTCAAATTTAGCTTTACTGAAAGCTCTGTAAAAAAAAACACAGTGAAAATTTAAGGAAAGCAACAATCCCACAAAAGTATTTGCTTTTTATCAATTCGTTTTCTTTATTTACTTAATATTACCAGAAATCATTTTACATATTGTTTTCATCTCAGACACAGAAATCAGAAACAAGCACAGGAATTCTCTGCAATGAGAACTCAAGCACTAAAACCTACCGTTTTAATTTATACCATTTATTTATTAGTTCAGGTTTGATAGCTATGGCACATCACACTGAACTATACCATTACCCAACATGTGTGATACAGTTTGCATGAAGATGTTTGTCCTTCTGCACATAGCTATTTTCTTCTTAATTACACACTATTTGGACAAGTCCACTACATAGCTAGAACTTTTTTTACATTTTGCTTTGTTTTATGACACAAAGAGTTTTGCATACTGGATCAGACTGATTCTGAGTGAATGAAGTCAGTCTCAGGAAGGTCAAAACAATAATTGGAATCTCAAAGGTGGACAAGAAAAGAATAAAAAAAGGCAGCTTTATATGCACATTAGTACTCCCCCATATTAAAAAAAAAACAATGCATAAACTCAAGGAACCTGCATTTTTGAGCAAGAAACGTCCCGCTGAAGTGCTTTGTGAACTTTCAAACATTATTCTTCACCCCTAAATACATAGCAAATTTCAAGATAATATTAACCCATATGTAGATTATAGTAAGGTTTTGTCATTCTTCCCACTAATAAGGTAAAAAGCACAAAGCCTAGATTGCTGCTGCTGCTACAGAAGGCGAGTATTCAGTTGGACATGGGGAATGGATCTGTGTGAAAATGAATCATTCAGTTATCTGTCTAGTCAGCCTAAAAACTTGTGAGTCAGGGAGCATGGATTTATGGCAAATTAAAACAGTCATGAAATCATGCCTTAAATTACTCTTTGTCTTAGTTACAGCACACATAGAACTTTGCTACAACTTCACCTACATTGTTCTGTGATTTTCTTGGAAGTTTAGAAGTAGCTGGAATAGTTTAAGTTTGATTAGGGAAAAAAATAGGCACGAACACTTCCTAGTGCCTTCCTATAAAGATTAAAAATGGATAAGAAATTATATAGATAAAACTGTACATTGTGTTCTCCTGTCTGAATTATGTTACCGGGTCAAGCAAAGTCTTTAGGATAAAAATTTCCAGTAAAAGAAGCTAATGATGAAAATAAATTTTCTGGCATAAACCAGATAAATGTTATTGTGAATTTTACTGGGTTTAGGTTATCTGACTAAAGGCTAATCAAATTAAAGACAAAGATCTGGTGATGATCAAAAGGACAATGATAGATGGTGGAACCAAAGTAGCCTAACCAGTGGAGAACTGACGCCAATGAATCTGCTGCTCTAAAGACCATTGAAGGAGAATGTTTCAGCCATGGTTTCTGATGTCCTGCATGCTAATGGTGATTAATGCCTAAAAGGACAGTATGTGGGTACAGGGCAGATGATGTTGCAATGCAGCACAAAGAAACTTGAAATTGTGTAAAATATTACAGCGTGTTTTAGGGGCGTTCTGCGCATGTGGAAATCTGACAGAGTGCTTACGGGATGGACACAGGGAGGAACAAATATGGATCAGGGAAGAGCAAGTATACTTAAATGGAGAAGAGAGGGGATGGCTGGGTTGGAGCAATCCCAGGCACAGCTACAGGTTGGGCAAAGAAGAGATTCAGAGCAGCCCTGCGGAGAAGGACTTGGGGGTGTTGGTCAATGAGAAAATGAACATGAGCTGGCTTTAGTGTGCGCTTGCAGCCCAGACAGACAACCGTATCCTGGGCTGCATCAAAAGGAGCGTGACCAGCAGGTCGAAGGAGGTGATCCTGCCCCTCTACTCTGCTCTTGTGAGACCTCACCTGGAGTATTGTGTGCAGTTCTGGTGTCCTCAACATAAACTGTTGCATGGAACTGTTGGAACAAGTCCAGAGGAGGCCCACGAGGATGATCAGGGGACTGGAGCACCTCGCGTATGAAGACAGGCTGAGGAAGTTGGGGCTGTTCAGCCTGGAGAAGAGAAGGCTGCGTGGAGACCTCATAGCAGCCTTCCAGTATCTGAAGGGGGCCTATAGGGATGGTGGGGAGGGACTCTTCATTAGGGCCTCTAGTGACAGGACAAGGGGTAACGGGTTCAAGCTTAAACAGGGGAAGTTTAGATTGGATATAAGGAAGAAATTCTTTCCTGTGAGGGTGGTGAGGCACTGGAATGAGTTGCCCAGGGAGGTTGTGAATGCTCCATCCCTGGCAGCATTCAAGGCCAGGTTGGACGAAGCCTTGGGTGAGATGGTTTAGTGTGAGGTGTCCCTGCCCATGGCAGGGGGGTTGTAACTTGATGATCTTAAGGTCCTTTCCAACCCTAACTATTCTATGATTCTATGTAAAGAATTGTCTAAATGAACTTACTGCATAAACTCCATCTCTAACCATCTTCTCTGTAAATCTTCACTAAGAAAAGCTCTAGAGAATAACATAAATTTCAGGAAACAATTTCAGCCAGTGTGATTAATCAATAGATTCCATTCCTCCAGCTGCTATTGCTAAAATTGCTGGCTTTGACCTGAAGAAAAATCTTCATATTGTTAGACTGCAACTTCAAAAATGAAGTTCTAGATTATTTCCATTTGCAAAACAGAAGCACACCAGAACACACTGATGCATTTCTTACCAAGCTGTTTAATGCCCAGCTCTGAATTCTGGAGTGGAAGGACCAGTGTTTATTTGGAACAGTTGCCATGCCCACCTATTTATTAAATAGATGACAAGTCTCTCTAATGGCAGAGAACAGCCTAGAGGTTAAGCCAGTAAGGCTTATGAAAGGAAAATTTGTGACAAAACCCTCAGTCACACTAAAAATCTTTAAACCATTAAGCAGAAATTCCTTAGAAAACATGAAAAAATACACTGTTGAGCAGTAATTCTCTCTGTGGATTAACAGACTTGCTGAACTTCACTTTTGAGCAGTCTAAATACAGAGCATATGTAGTACAATTGCAGCAGTTCAGCAATGCTGAAAATCTAGGGAATTCCTGGAAGCAGAATTGGAGCAATGGGATGATCATTAAATTCAGACTCTAAATAGCAGAACTATGCAGGTTTATTTTGCTGATTCCCTAGCCTACGTCAAACACTTTTTCTTGTAAATGTTGTCTCATTTGCAATTTTCTTAGGAAAATGGAGAATGAGATGAAAGGAAGAAAGAAATCATTTCTAGAAACCATGCAAGAAAGGTAAGACATCAGATCTCAGTAGCATTAGCTTCTTCATTTTTTCTAAGCAGAGCCAGCAGAATATGGTTAAGTGTTTATCATTCACCAACCAGAAATAATAGGTATTTGTAGTATGAAAGGTGACTAATGTATTACCTTTTCATCTGATCAAGTTAAATCTGATACGACAGCTCAGCATGATAGTGAGTAATAATTTACTTTGAATATTCAGGTTTTTAAGATATATCCTGTGTTGTCTTTCCACACACAGAAACCTGCTTCAGCATTTAACAAAATGAATGCTGTCTTTCTGAGTTAGAGCAAGGAATGGTGCGAGAATTAATTGTGACAGCTATGCTGTAGATGAAAGACAGTGTCGCAAGAGCTGTCACACTTCTTCACATGTTGTTAGAGGTTGGAACATCTTGACTGAAGACCTCTTATTTACAGAAAGCCAGCGAATCACATTTTCTATAGGTCTATTATTGCTTGGTTTTGCATTAAAAAACAATTTAATATTTTACAAATACTGATGTTACAAAGAATGAAAGCAAGAGAAACAAAAATCAGATTTTTTTTTCAAATGCTCCTTTTCACTCAGACTTGAAGACACCAAATTTCAAATCCAAATAACTGGCTGACAGTGATTACACTGACCTAAGCTTGGAGAAGGGTGATTTTTGTATAGAGACACAAGCTTTTAATTTACGTTCTAAGGGTCCTATTGTTGGTAAAAAGTACCAAAGTACTTCAAAAAGCATAGTGTAACACCAAACTTTTGAAGTCCACGGTGACACCTGTAAATCTATGCCAGGCATTTTGAATCATACCAAATCATCCATGTGAGGAGTCTACTCAACTTACGTTGGATACAAGTGGTTTGGCAAAACCTAGAATTCAGACTAAAGAATTAACAGGAAAACCTGAAGCCAGTATCACATTTTTAATTTCACCATACTTTGCAGTATGTATTATCCTTCACAAAGGTCACGACTAAATGGCCATGTTGTTCATTTCAACTGTCTCATCCAAAGGAAAGAACATAGGAGTGAGCTGTATAAAGATGCCTTTAGGCACTCATTTAGTCCTGGTACTTCCTGTGCTGCTTTCCTCATTCAAGAACATGTACAGTTGCTGTGCTATAAGCTATTTAAGGTAAAGACATTCTCAGTCTTTTGTGTCAAAGTTTCTGTATTTCACATGAAATAGTTAAAAGGCCACTGCTTTTGAGAAAAGACCAAACCTGAATGACTTAAAAGACAGTGCTCAGGGCACTGAACTAGAGGAAGGAGTTCTATATCTGACTAAGCCTTGGTCTCCAGGTAAGACACTATCATCCAAAAGATGCCTTACACAATAGAAGCCCTGATAAGTGACCAAACTGTGGTACTTATACATCATGGATGTCACATCTCAGCTAAATACATATAAAGGAACCTTGAAAAGAATCTGATTGCTCTCTGCTTCTGCTGTTCTTATTAATTAACTGTAGGGAAAATTATTTGCCTACTGGACCGTTGCTACTAGGAAGCACACTTGAGTATCTCTTTTTTGAAGGGAAGTTATAATCTCACCTTGGGCAAAGATACTAAGAGGCACCATTTCTGGATTTAAAAAAAAATCAAGATAGTCTCACTCAAAATATATTTAAAGAGAACTTATTGGCACAACAGATATAAGAAACCTGTGACTTTCACCAGGTTAAGCAATTACTTCAGTTGGTCACAATCACATAACATGTCATAAATGTGTAACTCAATAAGGAGTAAGGATAAGGATTTTTGTTACTGAAATCAGTCCATTTCTAAGTTCATGAAGTCTGAATATGGTACTTAGTAATGATGGATTTGCTATTCTAGTGCCTGTGCTTGAGGCTTATCAGAATGACTTTTAGGTTTGATGAATATCTTTCACAAGCCCTGCTGTAGGTGCCAAGGAGCCTCTCTGCATTCTCCCTGTGTTAGCCTATTCCTGTTTTAACCTTAATTAACAAGCACAGCCTTACTATTGATGAAACTGAAGGGCTTTGATTTTTCATTTATACCTTCACTGAGAGACACATCAGAGGCAAGATACCAGGCTGAAAATATTTTCCAAGTAGTGCTGGTGTAGTCTCTGCAGAGCTTTTAAGTATCTTAAGTGTGCACAGTCTTTCTGACTGTTAATACCAATGCCAGTTGCTTCAGAATAAAATACATATCCCTGCAAACAAAGGTGAAGACTGTGTATATCACTCTTTATACAGCTGTGTGGTATAATGCAACTAATAAATAACATTCTCTCTTCTAGCAGGGACAGGACTCTTCACATACTGGCTGCACATTGTGGTGTTCTGGTGACCTCAAATCAGAACATATTTCTTAAGTGGATCCAGTTATTTTCTGATGATTGTTTTGTTGGTATTATGTTCTGCATTCCATGGTTCAATTGGGTATTTGAGAGACTACCAGCACGTTCAGACGAGATTGTAGGAAAGAAATGTTTTTACTTTTAATCTTTGTTAGCTGAAGTAGCTAAACAGGTTTGCAAGATATTAACATATGCAGTAAAAAAACATTTCATATTAATGGATGTCATGGTTTAAGCCCAGGCTGTAAATCAGAACCACACAGTCTACTCCCCGGCCACTTTTCTTTCCCCCACTCCCAGAGGGATGGGAAGGAGAATCAAAAGAATGTCACTGCCATGGGTTGAGATAAGAACAGTCCAATAACTAAGGTAGAACACAAACCACTGCTGCTACCACCAATAATAATAATGATAAAAGAAATAACAAGGGAAGGGAATACAACCGCTCACCACCCACAAACCGATACCTCACCCCACCCTGCAGTGAACTAGCCCTTCCAGGTAACTGCCCCCAGTTCTACATCCTGGCCATGACGTGCTGTGGTATGGAACACCTCTTTGGCTAGTTTGGGTCAGGTGTCCTGACTCTGCTTCCTCCTGGCTTTCCCTCCTCTCTGGCAGAGCATGAGACTCACAAAGTCCTTGGTCAGGGTAAACATTACTGAGCAGCAATTAAAAACATCAGTGTTATCAGCACTGTTCCCAGGCTGAAAGTCAAAACCACAGCACTGCACCAGCTACTAAGCAGGAGAAAAACTCACTGCTACTGCTGAACCCAGGACAATGGGAAATAACTGGCACAAAGAATATGTGGTATCAATTAGGTGGACGCATACCCCAGGTAATGCAAAGATATTTTTGAGATGCTATTCGAATCAAAGCACAAAGAACATCTGCTTGAGACTAATACTTCTTTGGCCAGCTACCTCAGCTACCACAGAGAACTTTTCTTTACATGCTTACTGTGTTTTTTTTCTATTGATTGCATTAGATTTTCCAGTGTATCATTTAGGCAACCAGATTTCTGCTTTCTTGCATTCACCTCAGGAGGTACAACACATCTAACACTTATCAGGTCTAAGGTATTTCACAGTACTTCTAAGAACAAGTATATACTTCAAGAAGATAAAGAGAGACAGAAAACATGAGCTAAAGGACAGCCACTGTCCTCTATATGCATGTAATTTGGGATGGAAACCTCTCAAGTAAAATTCAAAAAAAATACTCAGGATTAATAAAAAAGAGTAGCCTGCATTTAAAATATGAAAATAGAAGTCAGAAAGGATCTTTAACACCCAACATAATGTTGAGATTTAGCTCTGAGTAATATCATTATCTAAAAAAAAAACAAAGAAAAAACCATAAAATGAATGCATAGGCATAAAGAAGTAATTAGAAATTAGAATACAAAACATATAAATCCATTTAAACTTTCAGTAATATGCCATTTTTAGCTGGGACTGGTGATCGTTTAATACCTATGGGCAAATGACTGTTTCTGTGAGAACGGTCAGCACTCCCTGCCTTCAGCCTGTGTGCTCGAGACCAGCAGGTGACGACACACCATAAAGGCAGGCTCTGGAAGTTGTTATTTCTGCTACCACTCTGCCACTTCGCTCGATGGAAAAATTCCTATTCTTATTTAATGGCTGATATTATCACTCCATAACAGATTGAGTTGGACTGTGCTGTAGTGCTGCTGAACAGTAAAATCAGCTAATAAGTCAGAGTGAAAGAGTAAACATAAATCTCTTCTTACAATATTTTAATTAAATTCCAAAAGAGCTAATAATTTTGGTTAATAAAAATGGTTTGGGTTTTTTATTTACCAATGAAATTAAAACAGTACGAAGAAACTTGATCAAAGTTGGTTTTTACATGACTTACTCTGCGGTGATGTCAGTGGAGACTAAGGGCAAAACGTCAAAGTATGAGACAAGCACATAAGACAGTGACAGCCAGCTGTCCTCACTTGAACTTAGATTTTGCTGTCCTTGCCAGCAGTACACGTCCCACCCTATAAATGTCCTCACAGACGTGTTATTTTTAGAAGAGAATTATTTGGTGATTTTATACTGTATAGTTGTAGCAGGTGTGTGTACAGAGAAGTGTGTCCACATTTACTACATGCATTCTGCAATTACATCCAAAATTACCCTTTTAGAAAAAGAGGTGGGAAGAACCCACACTGGCAAAAAAAAACCAACAAAACAACTGAAACCCAATTGGGATTAGGACAATAAAGCTTGATTTCTGTTAACACTGACTATAGTGTTAAAAATAAGATACTGATACTTGTTTTCTTGAAAATTTCAGACGTTTTCTTCTAGAAAGAAAGCATTTACAGTTATGGGGCAGATACTGCAATGGATACGCTACTGAAGCATTACATAGGGTCTCACTGTAGTTAAAGCTGCAAAAACAATACTTGCATTTTTGACATGAAGGAATAAATCTTAAGGAGAGGACAGAGGAAAGATAAACCTACTGCCTCTTTCATTAGCTGCCTCTCATCCATCACCTTACAGAACCATGTCCATGCTTGTGAAGGAAAGACAGCGCTGCATCAACTATCATCATAATTTACTGGAAGCCTTCTTAGCAGCATAGCTTTTGCATTAGAGTAGCTGAACTCATAAAGACATAGACATATATAGCTCCTCTTCAAGCCGTTTAGGCTAGGACATGAAATCTCACCAGGCAACAGAAATGCAATAAGTCTCCATCCATTCCTGGAAAGTATTCACTGTACATACAAGACGTGGCAAAACCAGCACTGAAGGTAAGTGTTAGATATTATTCAAGGGGCACGACCCCTCAATGTTGACTTGGGATATTTGCTTAGCCATGCCTTTAAATGCAGAAAAAAATGTTAGTATTCCTCTTAAGCTTCACTATAAAAAGAAACTCCAAGAGAGTGTGCCCCAGCACTTTCTGATACCATTTCATTGTCTCAGCGTATTTCTTGGTACGCTACATTACAGAAGCACCTGGCCCACTCAATGGCAAAACTACTGTAAAATTTTACTGTAAAATTTTTAAATATCAAATTAAATAGTTATCATGAAATAGTGTCTAAACTCAAATAGACATGAACTGCCCCCACAAATTACATGAGTCATGTCCTGTAAGCACAATAGCAAAATTTTTGAAAAGACAATCAATCAAACAATAATAACATCTCAGAGATTCCAGCTTCATGGGGGAAAGAGAGTATCACTGTAAGTAGGCACTCCCTGTGTTTCAGATAAATGAGGACATTTTGCAGTAAGTTAACATCAACAAAAGAATGTTCTCAGAAGCCTGAGCATGCAAACCTTTCTCATTTTACTGGTACCCTCTACCCAAGGTAGAGTAACTTGGCAAAAATCAGAACATGTTATGTAAAAGAAACCATTAACTACTGGATTATATTTCCTTAAATACCTACCAAAAGCTGTCCAGCAAAGCAGATAAACAAAATGAAGGAAAGCAAGAGAAATGCAGCCCCAAATGAAATTCCAAGAATAGATGTTCTACAAGAGAAGGAAAACATGTATTAATTTGTTATGCATCTGTAGCATGACCTTTCTTTGTGTATAATTCTGAGAATTCTAAACATTACCATGTGTAAGTTGCATCTTCCAAACATCAACAACATGGAAACACAATTCCAATCCTTACCAGAATGGCAGGCCTTTTTCTCAACTCAGGAATGTTTCAATTGGCTTTAACTCTGACTGCAAAACTATTACCAGGAGAAGATACTAATATCCACACCTATTTTAAATTACAGAGTGCATTAACAACATCAGTGTTTTGTTTTAACTTTAGAAAGCCTGTATTTAAAAAAAAAAAACTTATTGTTTTATTTTTATGCTGTTGATTTTGTAATCATTTAAGAGTCTAACAGATATACCAAATAAACTTGTTGGCATTATACAGTCTCCCCAGAGGTAGAAAAGCAATAGCATGGGACAGTGATGTCCAGGTTTCAGTGTCTCGCAGATAGAACCTGTGATATCTGTGATGTTGTAGTCTCTCAGTCAGCAAGGGCTCTAATATAGTGTTTGTTATTTCGTGAATGGCTAGGGATCCAATACTTCTGAAAAATCTGGCCAGTAGAGTCTGAAGTATCAGAGGACAGGATAGGAAATAAAACTACAAAAACATGGAAAAAAACCCCAACAAAATCGGACTTTAAATTAAAAAAAAAAAAAAGAGAGTAATCTCTATATTCTTCCTGAAATCCTTCTTAGTGTTCTATCTAGCTTATCTTTGTGTGGCAGAAATAGGAACTCCTAGCCAAAATAGCCTCACTGTATGATCAATAAACAAAACCAGGGATACAATAACAATCCGTGCATGCATTCATTCTGCAAATGTGGAAATCTCTCTATATGAATACCACAGTAGAGTATAATTGCTCCTTCAGGCACTGTACAAGAGCTACTTAGCATGGACGCCTAGGGAAAGATGCTGTGGGGCCTAATTATGTTTAATGAATGCCAAGAGATTAGAAGCTTTGGGCCAACTGAGTTGCTTAAGCAAGAGAACTAGATGGCATTACGAAGTCCCTCACCTGAGCATAGAACTTCAGTTTTAACCACAGATTTGACATTTTTACAGAATTAAAAATAGATTTCTCAACTACTTTGAGCACAAACAAATATTTTATCAAAGCTTATATGACAGAAATACTGGAATGACATTTTAAAAATAAGTCTTATATCACTTGCTTTTCCCACAAAACTGCAATAAATGTTCCATTTTAAGTTAGCTACTCCATAAATGTGTAATTCAGAATTAAAATACATTATTAATAAAAGCATGCATCTCTCTTCTTCAGAAATCTCCCTTGAATTAAAATATATGCTTTTTAGGGACTATAATACTAAAAATTTAGGAGTAAAACTCTATGATTAATTTCCTTAGATCATGTAGAAATACTGAAAAAAAAATTGATCCATTTTAACTGCAGTGTTATAAAAGCTATTTTCAGGAAAGAAAAAAAAGCATTAGCTTCACAAACCAATTTCATGCCATATTGCTGCCATTAAAAGCATTTTGTAAAGTAACCAATGAGCTTCCATGCCAATCATTCAGAGAACCTCTTACATGCTATGTATTAATCAGACTTTGGGTTGATGTGACAGATGATGGAAAACAAACAACTGGCAATTTGCAACATATATTAATCTTGAAATAATGTTTCTTTTTTGAGGTTATTTGAAAACTATTATTTCTTATGAATACATGTTCTCATGGAGACTAAGACAGTAAGCTGTACATCGGAATATGTAAAACTAGTCTCTACCTTTTGGAATTTAAAAACTAGTAAGCCACAGAAGACATGAAAGAAAGGAATATAATTAACAGATTTATTTCTTATATATGCATAAGCACTTCCATTTCTATTTGTCCTTCAACAGGATTCAAGTAACCATTTCTCCATTTCAAACTCTCTGATATGATGGATGCAAAAAACAATCAATCAAACAATAATAAAAACCTCTCAGAGATTCCAACTTAAGAAATAATTCAACACAAGAATAGCTTTGAGTCAAGTTTGGAGTGCATCCTTGTAGAGGAAGAAACTATAATTGTAAGAGAAACTGGAGAAGACAGGAAATAAAATTAACAAGGCATAAAGACAGCTTATGAGAAGAGTTCTAAATCACATGGGCAACAGGCAAGAACAAAAGGTCTTTGTAGCTGTTTTACATGATTGTGATGTTATTGAGGTAGCACAAGAAAAAGAATTACAAAGCAAGGTGAACAAAAGTCTAATTATCAAGGCAAAGAGAAAAAGAGGATAAGGAAAAGTAAAAATTCTGTATTAGAGTCCACATCTGAGTGATAAATACAGACAAAAAAAAGTTGTAAGACTTTTGCTTCCCACACCCCCTTCTTTTCTGTGAACAGCAGGACTTCTGTTTCGTTAAGCTGTGCTGAAATAGTTCCATGCTGCTCCTAGAAAGAAAGAAGTGGGCTGAAAATGCTATAAGAGGAAGAAAAATACTAAAATGTAAGTACCACCATAAACAAGCCTCATTTGAGGCAATGACCATAGGAAAGCTATTACATGCATTTATTTTCCTGTCACTGGAACACTCCAAAACAGTACAGGTCTTTACAGTAATCTGTAAATAATTGTGTCTTTATTGTGTAGAGTCATGAAACGCATTAGACAAGTCACTAGATGCATGGCACTGACAGACTTGGTCAAACCATCTTGTCAGAAGAGCACCTGTGATCCCACGAGACAGCTAACCTCTTTACCTGCTTCTTCCTATGCTTCAAGGAATGACCTAATTTCTGAAGGTCTGCTCTTTGTTACAGTGCCCCACCAGCAACCCCGACAGGACAACCTTTGACAATAACCTACAGGAGGGACAGAGTTTAAAATTGAGAAAACCATATGAGAACTTGCTAGGCTTCAGATACTTGCAAGTCTAAATAACTTATGATCTTGGTTATCCTTTTCATATTTTTTTGGTTTCATCAGTAAATATCTGTTTTGAATAATTAATTTTTATCCAGTGGTATGAGATTGGAAAAAAAATCCTATTTATACATGTGTCTTTTTGGTAACTTTTTAACTGAAAAATGAAAACCTGTTACAAAATAAAGATACTAAAAAATTGAGAAAGTATATGTCTTTCTACACTTCCGTAACTTTTAGGAAAAGACGCGACTTACAACATGCATCCCTTAATGGGATGTAGAGAATTTCCTTAGCTTGCCAGGTAATTAACATTCATGTTTTGAACTATCTGATTGCAAATTCTCTTGAGGTGATTAAATCATAATGAAGCATTTACAAATGACAATTATACAAGGCTATATTGAATTCAGACTTTTTTTGGCACCTAGTAGTAGCTATTTCTTTCTTAATTCGAGTGATGCTTTCACTAAGCCATCAGTGGATTCAATGGCTATGTAGACTAACTGTATAGCACTTCCAGTGTCAAGAAAAATAACCTGAGTATTGTATCTCCGCATGAGATTTGGTCTGGTTTTTTATTGTTTGGTTTTTTTTTGGTTTTGGTTTGTTTTTAAACAAACATTTCATAATGGTGGTTTTCTTTCCTTTAAACTGCATTATATTTTACACATCTGCTTTCACACAAAAAGTACTACATTTTCTATGAAGAAATTTAGCTGTGCCTGACTGTAAATACTATGTTAAGCCCTACTAGCCACCTTCCATAGGTAAAGCAAGATGACTGTTTGGCATGACTCAGGACAAACGGACACAGTTTCTTGAACACAGCAGTCTCAGAAACTGAAGACAGGAAGAATCTTAAATGCAGCCCCAACAAATCCCTTACTTGAATAGCACAAGAAGTAAATCCCATTCAACAAGGGTACACTTTCATCAGTTCACTAGTCTGCATTAAAAAGATAACACTATCAATTCCATGTTAGTTGACTTTCCCTAAATAAAGAACATAGCTTCCCTAAATGAAGAACATAGGGTTGTCGTGAATTACTAGACATCCTGCTGTCACTTGGTAAAGCAAGAATGCTAGAGAGCAACTGAAGGTCTGGTCCAAGGAAATGTAACGATCAAGATTTGCTGTCATTTTAATGTCAATAAAGACTTACTTTTCATGATACATTTCACCCCAAGATATTGATTACTTGGGTTAAATTTATATTTACCACTTTGCGTAAAGTTTATTCTGAAAATACCGTATCAGTTTATTGACCCTGGAAAAATTAAAACATTAATAGATTATTTCAGCTTTGAAATAAATGTTGAGTGATCTTGGAGATACTACTTATCGCTTGCAAGTTGCTGAATGTAACTCATCAAATATCTCCACATCTACTTTAAAGCAGCAGGTGATGTGTCTGCATAGAAATCAATGATATCACACTGCTGTAAAACCAGATTAATGGAACAGTGAATCAATAAAACTCAATGACAAATGCAGTTTATCTCCCTGTTTTCATTAAATAACCATTTAAAAATCCTGTAGAATTTTTGGAATAAAACAAAAAGGCTGGATAGAATTTTAGACTAAGCTATGATTTATTTATTCAGTATTTATTTTTTGCTGGAAGGAAATAACATTTGCAGCACTGGAGTAGTTCAATTTAAGCTACACTCGTGATGACTACATACACTGGTGATTTCCTAACTTTTTTTTTTTTTTTTTAAATTTACTATGTTCCCAGTTTTCCAGGAAAGATGCAGATGCCTGTATAATACCTTGCCTTTCTGACTACTATTTTGGTATCTCTTAAATTAATCCACAGATCCCTTGAAGCTGAATACCATTCATGTTAGTAAAATCTGATTTTACACTCTTGCTTTTACAATTCAATACACAGCCTCACAAAAGGACCAAAAGATAATTTACATTTTGGTAATGAAAAAGAAAAATCTTATGTATCTTTTTCTCTGATACTAGAACAAGATCATGTAATAATTGCATGAACTTTTACAAGCTGAAAGACACTTTCCTTAGGTGAATACACCTGCCTAGAATTCACTAATTTAAAGTAGATGATATATTTTAATGAGCTTCACAATTGGTTTAAGAGACATAAGGATATCACAAAATGAGCATCTTACTACATGTATGATAGGTGATAAATTTAGATTAATTTTGATGACTGAAATCAAAGCATAGAATCAGATTCATAAATCATACTGCTGGAAGGGACTCATTAGATCCAAGTTTGAGTTTTGGTATATCACAGACCACAAATTTCCCTGAATTAATTCCTGTACTAATCAAAATACAGTATGAAATTTTAAAATATGCTCATTATACAAAATTACAAATAAAATTAGCCATGAGTCTTAATTTCATATTTTGCTATAGTAATGCCCAAAGTCAGACTGAACCATATACAGGCTACTGCTGAACTCTTGGAAGAGTGTCCTTTTGCGGCTTGTATCTCTGCGTTAGAAGCCAGCTGGGAAACTGTTTGCAAAGAAAATGCCGTAACATTTGAACAGAAGCCCATAAAACTTTATATATGTTATAAAACAAGTCTACAGTATGGAAAGTCAATTTATAATGACCTAACAGTACTTTCTGGCTTTGAATCAAAATGTGAGTAAGTACTACAACACAAGACTGAGGCTATAAATACTACTCCTGATAGTGCTGCACAAAAGAGACTATGAGTAAAGAAATACGGTATCACAGGGAATATACAGTGTTGGCTTTGGAAAGAATTGCTATAAAACAAATATAAATTTCTACTTCTACTATGCAAACAATCAACAGCAAATTTTTATTTCAAGAAGTCTAATAAAATATTATTTATTACAACTGTCTTCCAGCTTTCTCAGAGAGAAGAGCTGATTTATATGCACAAATATAAATTAGCTCATAATATATAAATTCTGATGAAAATAATCATTCCAGCAATTTATTATATGTTAAAATTAGTTTTAAAAAGAGACATCTTATGAATAACAATGCTCTGTTTGCATGCTGGATAGAGCAGTATTATCAGAGTAATATTTTAAATATATTTCTTTAATCACAGTCCCGATTCTGCAATTCACTTTGTCTCACTTCAATGTCCAATTGTCATTTTAATTTTACATGTAATTTTAGTTTCAGAAATTTATAGCTTGTATTACTTTTTTTTTTTTTTACACATACAGATTTCACTCCTGTCATTATCACACATTTTTAATTCAGAGGGAAAAACTAAAATGAATGAAGAGCTGGTACTAAAGCTTGGCACCATATTATTTACAGCATTTAAAATTAGAAAGAAGCATAACTTTGGAAATGGGCTGAAATCATCAATCTTCTCAGTTCGATCTCATTTCCATGAATTGAGCTCCGTAATCTGACAATTACAAAATTGTTTACTTATACATTTCTATTTTTTACATTACTGAGCAAATATACATAAGAATGAGTACATGTTAAAGAGCACTTACTTTGGCAATACCAGAATCTGCACAACAAAAATGCAGAAGAATATGAGACAGGCACAAGTCACATAATACTTAAATGCAGGCAGAGTAGTTGCTCGATACTAGAAGAAGAAAAAGCAAATATTAAAACCATGGTTTCTGAAGCAGATAAAGCATCACCCAAATGAAATTTCAGCTTAAAGATGCAGATATGTATAGGAAGTCTTTAGCAACAGTAAATTTCCTATTGTTCAATGACTTACAGATCCACTCACATAGGACTAGGAATTGTCAGACATAGTATTGAATCCTTGTACTTCCTGAAGAACAGCTTAAGTAACATTGTCAAATGGTTTTGTCTTGTTCCACTGCAGAACAGGACTATCTTAATTTCACCACAAAAAAAAATTAATAACAAAAAAGTGAAAACATTTTTTAAAATATTTTTAGGAATTGACAACCACTCTTAGCTGATTTCAAATTTCCTAGTCATTAATTCCCCAAACTGATTTTCAATTATTAATAAATACTGAATGGGCTAATACAGTTATAAAAAACCGTTACAGTCATTTAGACAGGAAACTTCTGAACACACAAAGCAGCAAATTGTAAAATGTGCTATAGGTGTGTATAAAAGTCCTATTTCCAACAGTATAGCTAGCAGTCATATTGATACTTACTGGGCCTATAGTATTACTTAATTGGAAATATTTTATGTCTGTGTTAAAAGGCCTTGCATGTCCACTGATACTACCAAACACTTGATATTCTTAAGGGAGAGTCAATTTGATCTGCTTTTTCATTGAAAAAAAAAGAAGAAATCTATTTATGAATCTCTAATTAGCCGGTCTAGAGACAAAAGCATTAAGTAATGAAATATTTATCAGAGTTATTCTGCTATTTAAGATAGCTGTGTCTAGATTGAAACCAATTAAGTACTCTAAGGGAAATGACCTAAGTATCAGGCCTACTAAAGTTACTCACCCTTTCCAAGTAAGGTAAGAATTTAAAATTTGATTATTGAAAGAAAATGTACCAAAGATTATTTGCACGAAGTGCTCAAAATGCAAACTTCATAAAATGGAAAGTGTGTGAGCTGTGCTTTCTAACTGCAAGCACACAGCTGTGTCTTTGTGCTTAGTGCCAAGTTCTGCCCTTGAAACTGGTGCACCAAGCTTTAATGAACATTTAGAAATTGAGTTTAGCAACCCGGTGGCTTTCTTTTCACTTTCATTCTGATCATTACTCCAAGGACTAGAAACAATATTATTTAGTCCATCTGTATATACATGTCTCAAACATGTTTTATCACACACATATTGGTCAGAAGAATATTAAGTGTGGTGCATCCAAGACAGCTAGACATTTTTCTTAGAAAAAAGTTTATAGTATTGCTTCTCCACAATGAGTCTGATTATCAATGCATATAGAGAAAACTAATGAGCTCATATCATCATAAGACTATCATCACTACAGGTGGAATCTTTGAGACATGGAGAAAAAAAAAACAAACTAAAACCAGTGGTGTATGATAAATGCCTTTTATGGATGTAAGTGATGGAACTTAGGAATTCGTTGTTCCAGCTACATCAAATTTGGACTATCAAACCTATCCCCAGTTCTGCAAGACCACGAACATTTCAAGACATTCAAGTGAACTGCAGAGCCCTACAAACAGGAAAGCAGTCTCAGACATCACATTCATAAAGTTTCTTCCATAAATTAACTAAAATACTATTGCAAGGTTTGAAAATTTCTCCCTGCAGGAGAGGCGCTGTGGCCATGGCTCTGTGTTTCAAAAGCAAAGGATATAAGCTTCACTTAGGATAAGGCAAAGAAGGAATCCACCATAATTTGCAGCGAAAATAACTTACTTCTTTTTCCAGGGTTTTATTATAGAAAAGAAGTGATATTCTTTGAATATCTTCAGATTTAAGCCACTGCCTAGAAGAGAAAAGGAACATTATAACTGACATAAAAATAAAGTAGCCTTGTCTTTTTCAATTACTGAAATGTTGTAAAATAATAAAATAACTTTGAATAAAGCAACTTCTTGTGTACTGCAATGTATATGGTAAATTGCACTGACAAAGCAGAATCTAAAAATCCTTTCTCCCTTTTGACTTTGGTTGCTAACACATACATGAAACAAAAGCTTAGTCAAAGGAATGTGGATCATTCCTAAGGACAGTCAAGGGAGAGATTTATATGATGTAATTCTGACACTGATATTTCCCTCATGTCCAAAATGATGTGACATACCCCGCAAACATAAAGGAATGTGAGACAAAAACAGCCCTTCACAAGGAACCTTTAAGAAATGCAGTTATAGTATGCAAGAGTGGCAGATAAATTACACTTTATGAACTCCTACTCCAAATGAAAATGTAAAAAGCATTATTAAAATAGGTGGAGTGATTTTGTCTTTGAGCTGTATTAGTCTCTTGACCATGACCCTGTACTCTAGAGGTAGATTTTAATCTTTATACAGATTATAAAATCTTCTTTCCTGCTTAAAGAGGAGACATAGAATAAGTACTTCCATCAAAATGACAAATCTGTTTTAAAAGAAGTGAATATTGACAAAGGCTTGACATAAATTTTACAAAATGAAATGTTCTAATATGAAAGTTTACATTTATTTTAAGGGACACTTGAAAAGACACATATTTAAATTTCAAGAGGGTTATGTTGCTTGCACCTCAAGAGGACTAGATAAATCTGAAAGAAAAAATATTTAAGCAGACTGCTTCTGTGAACATGCAGTATTTGAACTTGAGCACTAATAGCAGGGCTTTAGATTTTTTTTGCAACCTTTCCAGCAATAACTTTAAATTAGGCCTGAAGCTAGTTGTTTAGTTAATGCCTTCTAAATAAAAGCGAATGTCTCAACTGACAGGCTGCAAAGCAAATAATGTAGCAGCAATAAACTGCAGTGGAATATATCCTAAGTTAAGGTCCTGGGAGAACAGGAGTGGATGGAGTAGAGTGTAAGCTACTAACTTTGATTTGTGAAATCTAAAATATTTTTTTCCTTGCCTGGGAGACTGTCTCTGCTCCTGTGCAATCAGTTTCCCTACAAAAAGAGGCTGAAAACCCGTCCAGTTCTAGCTATGCTTAATTCAGAAGTTATTTTCCAGTTTGCTCTGCAGTGGCCCATATCTATGTCTGATTATAATCAGGATTCTGAGAAGAAACAGGTATGATAGGCTGTTGTATATATAGCATTATTTTGTTTGGGTCTAGCTGCAATCTACTGGAAAAAAAACATTAAGTTTGTGGGACGTTTTTGGTTAGCTGTGAAAATTAAGTGCAAGTCTTCTTCCATTTAGTTATAAAAATTGAAAAAAAATAGTAACTCTATTCTCCAAATTGGTAACTAATTTCTTTTTTTTTTTTTTACAGTATCTGACAGGCAGATTCGTTTAATCACCATTACCACCAAAAAATTCTGTCTGCAGACCTAATCCCAAAGACCTAATTTGGTCTGTACACACCTGATTGCATGTGAAATCAGTAGTGCCATTTACTGCAAATGCTGCCTTATACTTCACATTGCAAGCTCCCGTTTTCAGGAGCTTTTACTTCTACTTAGAAAAAAACACTCTACTGGTTTTAGGTTGCAGATGCCAAGAGGTCTGAGATGAGGGAAACAGTTTAACACAGACAAATGGAAGTGGAGAGTAAGTACAGAACAGGGAGCACAAAGTCACATACCTCCATGAGAGAGAGAAGGGCTGAAGAATTCTGCCCTGCTTGACTCCTCAATGAGCCTAAAAGTTACCAAAGTATCTTCCAATGTCTCCTAGGAAGCTAGGTACCAAATTTCTGTTTACATTCCTTTGCAATTCAAGGAATGACAGAAACAGCTGAATTGTGCCAGTATCCACAGAAGCATGTGGTTTTATAGGGCTTGTACTGATTGACAACAACGAATTATGCATGGAACATAGCAGCCACCATGACTTGGAGAAAAAAAAAAAGAGTGTGGCTCCTTAACACAGTAACCTACTTATCAAAGAGCAAATAACTTTAGTTTAGCTCCCTCTGTAGGTATATATTAAGCTAGCAGATTGCTATCCATCCATCACAAGTCCTACAAAAGTCCCTTAGCTACCAAGGTTCAGGGTGGTATAGCTATGGTTGCTCATCCCTCTCCTGTGCAGGATGGGCATTTTGCAGCCAGGAATATTTTGTTCAAGGTACAGAGAAAGGAAACATGTGGAGAAAGTATGATATTACACTCTAATGCCTAAAGCACTCAGCTGAGAGACAGAAGCTCTTTATTCCTCATTCACTCTTTTGAATCTGTATTTACATGTCTTTAGTGCAGTGCTCTAAAATAATAAGAATGAATAAACAGGTCACAGCTTTCTTCATGCAACTTTGCAAGGAGCATTACCAGCTAAATCTACTACACTGAAGCATGCAGTAAGGCCAGTGGCCTGCTTTTTTGATGCCACAGTTTCATCTGCATTCCAGAAGAAGGAATCCAACCCAGATGCTCCGAGTTACTGACAGTGTGTGCATGTGCCACTTGGCAGTTTTGTGGAAAGGCAGCTAAGCTAGCTTGTGAAACAGCAGAACAGCACTAAGGGAGGTCAGAGAAAATGCTACACTACTTTGAAAACCCGACGTACCATTTCAGTACATACCGTACTACTTTACACTAGCTAAAAACGATGATTCATTTGGACTATAGCTTTGTCTTGGACTACGATCCACACTCTACATTCCCTTGTCTTCCAGTTACTGGCCCTTAAGCACCTGGGAATGTAATGTCCAGAGACACACATATTACAACCATTTGCTTGCAAACAGTTACAGGATGACATATGGCAAAGAACCACGATGTTAGACCATACTGACAGCTCAGAGTAGAAGAAACAATGGCTCTGTGCAATGAATGTTTGGGTTTTAATTGTTTTCATGGAATTTTCTAATTAAAAAGCTTAAAAGAATGGCAATTTTAATGCCATATTTTATGTGCAGATTTTTTTAATTTTCCTCAGTCACAGACCTAGTCACTATACAATCCAAACTTTAGACTTAAAAACATTAAGAAATACCAGTTTTCTCACAGATTTTCTTAAATGTTTGCTACTTGAGTCACAAAAGCAAAAGCTTTATCTTCACAACCAATCCGTTTAACTAGTCGACGTTATTTTCATTTTACAGGCAAAAAATTGAGGCACAAAAAGCATGCACAATTATAAAGAAAACAAAAATGTGTTTTGTGTCCTAAATGTAAGAAGTCTTATACTTATTTTTCTGAGCACTTAACGTTCACATATTTAAAATATTATTCAACTTGCTGTTTGGGGAACCAGTGGTTTTGACAACTTATTCTCAGGTAATCAACTGAATAATACCGTTTAAGTGATCCATTCAGCAAATCAATATAGGGGTAGACAATTAAGTTTTGGAAGGTGGCATCCAGCCTTCTAGATATGTAATATCTCTCCTTCTCTTTCTGCAGTTCCCCAGGTAATTCATAAAATGCACTGAAACATTTTCAGAAACATTTTTATCATGTCTTTTATCCCTAGGTTTCTTGGAATTTTATGCACTAATTAGATGAGGCAGGGATTCCCTGAGATAAAACAACACACAGTATGATCATACCAATGCTTTATTTTAATGCATTTATACAGATGCTTTACTTTTGGCATTGAATGTCATTTTTACAATCCACTTACTGAGGCAAGCGTACCTGAAGACACATACAAACTACTAGAACTTACAGGCTGTTTTAGGCAAGTCCAGTATAATCAAAAGGCTTCGCCTATCATCTGACCCACCTTCTATCACTATATTCCTTGTATGACCTATAACTATCAACACTCTTTTCTATACATAATTACTTTAAAATATTTTTTAAAGCCAAGTACATTTTAATAAGGCTATCAGAAAAAAAAAAAACCACCCTCAAATGTTACATGTGAGCTTTTAATAATTAGGTGCAATACTCAGATGATTAAAATTCTAAGTAACAAAAGAAGGGTTGGGGGAAATGTGTAGTTCATCACAATTATTGCCCACATTTTTGAAAGGCAATTCCCTTATTTCACCAGATAAATACAAGAAGCCTGAACACTTATTTTGGACTGGTATTGATTTTTCACTCAGTCTTATCTATTCACCAGCAAACAGGGAACATCAATACTGCCTCCAGTTCTTCCTGGGACACATTAAAAACACATGCCACATTGCCTCCCCCAGCTATTTCAATATGCCATCAAGCTTAGCCTTCTCTAAGAAATGAACTTACCAGTTGAAACAGAAACTATGATTTTAAGGAAAGTTTCTAATTCTGAGGAGATGTTTCTGTGACAATTGTGAAGCATTAGTTTTCACGTCATTCTGATTCCTGAGCTATTTCTCGTGTTTTACTTCTCTGCTCTCAGATGAGTTAATTCTGCAGTTACAGCTACGAGTGCACAGACACAGTTACAGAGCAAAAATCTCTTTGCCATGAAGATCAAGACAAGCCAAAACCTCTGTCACACCATGATTCACACTGTCTTATCCCATATAGTACAAAATGTTACTGTACAGACTATCTTCACAATGTGCAGAGCTTCCTATGCCAGTGATAATGACACCTTTACTGTTTTCAGACTTCTGTGTGCATGTGGAGTGAAAAATAGTAAACACTACCCTCTCTTGCAGATTTATGTCAAAGTTGAATGAAGGTGACAACAAAGGATAAATACATACTTTTGAGCATTGATTCCATCAATGGCCTGGATCATTCTCTCATTCAGTTCCTCCTCAAACCTTCTTTTCTGTGATTTTGTTCTGAAATGAAAAATGTGAGCAGTTACTCTGCAAAATCATTATATTGTTAATAAACAACTTTTAAACAAAAGGTGATGTCTGGCATAAACTTTTGAGGATAATAAATTTTTTTATAATTTTTTAATGTTAAAAATGTCACAGTTTCACAGTATCACAGTATGCTAGAGATTGGAAGGGACCTCGAAAGATCATCTAGTCCAATCCCCCTGCCGGAGCAGGAACACCTAGATAATGTTACACAGGAATGTGTCCAGGCGGGTTTTGAATGTCTCCAGGGAAGGAGACTCCATAACCTCCCTGGGCAGCCTGTTCCAGTGTTCCGTCACCCTCACCGAGAAGAAGTTTCTTCTCAAGTTTAAGTGGAACCTCTTGTGTTCCAGTTTGTACCCATTACCCCTTGTCCTATCATTGTTTGCCACTGAGTAGAGCCTGGCTCCATCCTCGTGACACTCCCCCTTTACATATTTATATACACTAATAAGGTAACCCCTCAGTCTCCTCTTCTCTAAACTATAGAGACCCAGCTCCCTCAGTCTTTCCTCATAAGGGAGATGCTCCACTCCCTTAATCATCTTAGCTGCCCTGCGCTGGACTCTCTCCAGCAGGTCCCTGTCCTTCTTGAACTGAGGGGCCCAGAACTGGACACAATATTCCAGATGTCCTGGTTTAATGTCCTGGTTTCAGCTGGGATAATTTTCTTCCTAGTAGCTGGTACTGTGTTCCATTTTGGCTTCAGTCTGAGAACAATACTGATAACACACTTATGTTTTAGTTGTTGCTCAGCAGCACTTACCCTGATCATGGACTTTTCATCTCATGCTCTGCCAGTAAGGAGAGGCACAAGAAGCAAGGAGGAAGCAGAGACAGGGCATCTGAGCCAAACTAGCCGAAGGGACCCAAACTATGCCACATCATGTCATGCCCAGTATATAAACTGGAGGGAGTCACCCAGAAGGGACCAATCGCTACTCGGGTCAGGCTGGGTATCGGTCAGTGGGTGGTGAGCAATTGTGCATCCCTGCTTTCTCTTTCTAGTTTTATATTCTTCCCCTTTGTTATTTCTGTTTTGATTCTCTTCCTCATCCTGCCCAGGGAGGAGGAAGAAGGGATGAGTGAGTGCCTGCATGGTACTTAGGTGGCATCTGGGTTTAAACCATGACATTTATTCTGCAATAGCAAGCTGTAGGCATCGAGTACACTGAGCCTCATAATAAGCTCTTAACAAACCCAGCACACACTGCAGTCTCACACACACACAAAAATCTAGAGTTTACATATTAGTGAGCACCTAAAAAATAACCACAAGAAAACATTTTGTAAAAAACCCCACCAAAACCCAAACAACAAAACAAACAAACCGACCAAAAAAAAAAAAAACCCAACCAACCAAAAACCAAACAGAAAAAAAAACCACAGAAAAAAAAAACTACAAAAACCAACCCAAGAGAGTTCAAGAAATGCTGGTTGAAGAAGAGGTTTCCATAGTTTTATGGATTTATGAAGAAGAATGGAAATATGCGCAAACTCATAAAACATTTGTTTCTTCTAGTTACTTTTAATATTCCTTCTCAGAATTGTATGATGAGCAATAATGGGCTAGTACAGCAAGGCTTAATAAGTATTCACCACTGAAAGCCTGATAACTTCTTTTCTTGACAATATTTTAGTATTTTTAATAAGAAAACTGAGCACCAAGTCTGAAATGAGTTTCAAATATATGTCATGTTTCTCTGTTTATAACTTATAACGCAACTACAATACAAAAAGCATCTTTTTTCACTGGACTCAGCATGAACCCAACAAAGCATCACCAGAATCAGTTTTGTCTTTGCTAATGTATGTTCCTGCAAACAACATCAGTCCTTTCACCAACTGCGCTCTCCTTAAAAAGGGAATATTTCAAATATTGCCAGATTATGCCTTTGCCTCTTGAAAACTTAAATCCAATGTTTGCTTAGCGAAATCTTCTTAACCTACAAACTAAACTCCATCAGAGGCACCATGGATTTTGTACAACGTCAAGTTTTTGAGTTATTTTCCCCAAACTGATAACTTGTTGCAGGATTCAAATTCATACAGAAATTGTATTAGTGTACTTAAGAATAAACAACCCGACTGATTTCATACCTATTCAATGGCATAGAATTTAGGTAAGAAAGTTCTTACAACTTATTCTTCCCATATGAAACAATCTTCCTAGGAGAAATAACTAGACAAATGAGGAGACATTATCTAATCACACTTAATCCTCTTGGCAGCTCCCTAACAACATAAGAGTATTATAAGAGCTAAGACTGCCATAAACAGAAGACTATATTCAGACTTTAAAACCCACAGTTTCATATCCTAATAAAAAACTGATTTTTAAAGTGCTGATTATTTCAGCTCTCTCCTGTGGGAATGACTAATTAGCTTGTCTAGAATCCTAGCTATATGCCTCACAATGGACATTAGACTCCAGCAACAGTTTCTAGAAGATCCTTCTGTAACATGGTATCAAGACATATGGTAACATTTGCAACTTTTGGATCTATTTTGGAGAGGAATACAGAAACCAAATGCAAGAACATCTCAGAATCTTAAAGAACTGCATTTGCATATACTACAGTACAATTATCTTTACCATAAAGCCAATAGAAGTCCCTTTGATGTACTGTCGAAGTGCAAATGTTCAGTTTTAAAATCAGAGACTGCTTTTATTACTATCATGCACATTCAGTCAAAACTTGTTCATATTCTGGAATTTAGCATTATTTTAGGTAATTGCATAGTTCTCTGGTAACCCGGGATTGGTTGAGGAGACATTTACCAAGTAGAGAGACAGGGAAGGAATAGACAGAATGATTTATTTGCACAACCAAAGACAATGAACCCACAATTTTTAAAAGCTTTCTTTCAAATGTTTTTACAGTATTTGTGATGTTACTTCCAGTTTTCCAAGAAAGACATTATCTGAATTGTTATCAGGTCATTAAAATAGAAATTAATCATCCCAGGTTTCTGACAGTGCTAAGCTTGTTTTTTAAGCAGATGTCATTCAAGACTGTTTTCTTTTCTCAGTCTCTTACCCTAGTCATTGAAGTACTAAGCAGGTAAATGAAAACATAAAGCTACCGTGATTTTGCAAACATCTTTTGTAGCAAGAGCACTACAGGAAGACCACAAAATAGCTTTCAAATGTTTACTACTGTAAACATACTATAGACTTTGAAATGATAAAACACAATGCAAATACAAAGCAACTAACAAAATATAGAAAATGTCTCTTTTAGTACATATTATTAGCTGTTGTAACACAAATTATTGGCAACCCTTTCCATCTTCCTCTTTCTTTCCCCTCTGTGCCTCCTCTCCATTTTCCTGCATATAATTTTCTCCTCACTGATAGAGCAATTGGCTTGTTTAGAGAAACAGCCCATCAACGTACTTATACTAATTCAGAATAATGGTATTTGTTAGCAGGAAGTGTATTCACAATTCTTAAGTAACATGTCTGACAAAGCTGTTTTTATAGCCCTTCTCTATGTAAGAGGTATCAGCTGAAAAAATAGTTTTGGTGAGAAATGGCCCTCAAGATTTGAAAGCATGCATTATATACATATCTATATGAATGCCTATGAATATGTATGTATTTATATGGACTTTATATGAATAAATAACTTTAAAAAATTAATTTACCTCTCTCTGCAGCGCTGAAAATGATACTGCCCCATGGGAACATCCTGAAAAAAAAAAAAAAAGAAAATATCTATCAGCTATAACAGACTTTGACAAAACTAAGTTGTTTTAAAAATAGTGCTGAAAACAGCATCAAGTAAGGAGAAAAGCTTCCAATACAAATACTTTCAGCATTAGATTAAAACTACATAAAAGAAAAATCCAGCCAGGGAACCATCACTTCACTAGATGGAGTGACCTGGAGACAAACTGATCTATTGTTATAAACACTAAGGAACTAACACAATAGTCTGAATCCAAGGATGTTTGTTTTACTAGAAAGTCACTGCTTCAAAGTCTCCACTTTTTTAATGTAACCCAAACTCCTGCAAGATTCAGCAAAAAACAATGTGAAGTGTTTTTGAAAAAAAACAAAAAACCCAAAACAACAAACCAGATCTGTGTGGCCAAATACAAGCAATGGTCTTTTTTTTTTTTTTTTATAGCCATCACATCACAGTCACATTTATTTTGTGATTAATAGTGATGGCTGGATACTTTCATAATGAACATGTCACAATCTACATTCTGATGCACTGTATTTATTGAACAAGATGGGTTAGGTGGCTCCATCCTATGTTCTCATATGTAACAGGAATAAAACTGAATGCCAATGTTGAAAACTATTAGAATTAGATGCAGAAGATAAAACAATGTACAAGCTGTGGACTGACAGCATCTCTCTGACAGCAGTAAAATAGTGTTAGCAAAATTAAAAAGAAATATTTTCTCTTCAGTGTAAGAGATGTAACATTGCAGTATAGACAGTGCTATGAAACTCAGGCCATCAGCCACAGCTGATGAGTGGTTAGTGCCCTTTCAAAAGGCAGATGTTATAGTGAGTATGGATTTGGTTCCCAGAGAAATTTTCTAATAAAGTCCACCCCAGGCACCACAAGAATATTCAAAATTTGGGTTTGAATATTCTCTAGGTTTGGCCATGTTCTAAATGGAGGATGTGTCTAAATAGCCAATAAATCTCAGGGAATTCCTCTGTATCAGTAGTATTCTTTCCCAGAGGTGTTGCATTCTGGCTTTATGTTCAAAATGTCTTTCCGCAGGGTGAATAGCAGCCACTCTTCATGCTGTGACTGGGGCTCCCATGCAGAGGGTCCGATTCTGTACTTTAGTCAGTATGTTGCACTCCTTATAATTCAGAGATGCACTTGTAGCAAGACATGGCTCTTCAGAGTCTAACCTAAAGCTCAGAAGCCAAGGGAAGAGCTCCCAGCAACTTCACTGGGTTTATGCCTTGTACAATCGTGTGTATCTTCTCTGAGAAATATCCACATATTTAGCAGTGAGCACCCTTTTCCTTTCAAATATTGCTAAATTGTACGAAATGACATAAGTAGGCCCCTACTGTTGTGCTAATCTTGCCGTTTTCAGTGGTCATGCTGTCCCTGTGGTGCAAGTGTGCAAATGGCTTGGCTGCTCCCCAAGATTCCAGGTACCGGGTCATGCGGACAGAAGCTCTCATTTTGGCTCCATCAAGAGTATGTCGAGGTCTAATGTGATGCTGAGGGCTTCGCTTCTCTCCCTGGTTGACAGAGAATAAAAGGTGATATCAGCCTTGGTTTTCATTACTTTCTGAAGTAGTAATGCATTGTCTCGTACCACTTCCCTCCATGCTTAGGAACTTAAAAATGGAGAGATACTAAGAACCTGCAATTCTTAATGATATTGCTGGGAAATATCAGAGACTTATTTCTGAAACCGGGAAAGATTTGCAATGCAAGCATTATGTATCTGTGGGCATTAGTAATAGCTCTGATCAATATCTTCTGGTAGTGAATTAAAAATATTCACTAGAGAGATTGGTGGTCCTGCTCAAATATAACTATGACAGGCAACAAAATAAAAGTGCTACCAACCTTAGGATTGATTACAAAGTAAGTCTTAACATTATGCTCTTTCAGATACGGGTCCCTCACATCTCCATCCCCATCTTCCACTTTGTAAGCTCCATTCAAATGTGCCAAGGTGACTGAGGTGATGTGAACACGGCTGAAATTATATTTCGAAAGAATGACAGAATCACAAACACCAATCAAAACCATAATTTGAACCTGATCAACTGTTTCTACTAACTTTTGATAAACTTTTTATATGCTGCTTACTTCATTTACAGTCATTCTAATCTCATTTTTAGTTCTAATGGATATAAATCTAAAAGTTTGCATCCACAAAGAAATACTCCTTAAATCACAGGAATTACTAAGTGCCCCTTTTTTTTCTAAGAGCAGTAAGAATTAATTCGGGATTTGCGCTCAATACTGATGGCTGAAGACATGGCACCTATGCATTTCTCTGTGATACAGAAGTCCACGTGTACCAAAGCTAACAGAGAAGGCTCTTACCCTGGCACTCCCCCAGCTTCCATGTGATTTGCCAGAGTAACATCATGTGACCACACATCATACTGCCACTTCTGTAGTCCAATGACACCACAAAGCACATTCCCAGAGTGCACTCCTACGCGCATGTTAATATCAACTCCAGTTGCATCTCTCACTTTCCTGCAGTTGAGATGAAAACATGTTAGCATACATAATAAGGCCTTTGTTTTCGTTTATCAGTCAAATTATCAGTAACGACTCTTATTTATTTTTAACATTGCCTCCATTCTTTTTATGCTAGCATTATTTTTGTATCTTACTTTTCCCATTATCTATATTTGCAACTACTTGTAGCAAATATTAATCCTCAAGTCCATGACTGAAGTCCTTTCTTTTATTATCATCTGAAATTATTTGGGAGGGATGAACTAAGTAGTGGAAATATTTAGTCTCATGGTAGAACACAGAGACTATTTTTGTTCCACAGGAAGCTCTTGGAGATCTGGAACTACTGGTATGTGCCCTTCTATCTCAAGACCCTAATATCTATGTTGGAGACCTTCTCATATCTGTCATATCTAAGAGGAAGGATGAAAACCACATCACCTCAGGATATTCTACAAGCTGGTTCACTTACAGGGGATAAAAAATGCAAATGGCTCCTATATATGAGTCAGGTTCATAGTTCTAGCAACATCTTCAGTCTCAACGATAAGAATAGTCATTACAGAATTAATCTGGCCTGTTTCTCTTATGTTTTTGAAAGGGGGTATAGAACTTAAGAGGCTTAATTTGATATGGTAAATCCTACATTTAAGTAGTAGTACTCAAGTGTTCTTTTTCTGGGAAATTAAAAATAATGGGAGCATGACAAAGTATTTTATTAAACTGTGTTTTGAAGTTATTAAGAAGATGAAACAAGAAGCTTTTTGAATTCCTTCAGTCTCTTTCAAGTGTTTATTGGCATTTCTTTTCACTTTGCCATTTTATACTGCTCTCAAGTAGCTGGCACACGTGAAAACGAACTGTTTGTAAATGAGCTTCGTAAGCAGTCAGCAAATTACAAACACCACTTTGCTCTGCAAAAGGAATATGGCACAAGCTTTTAACTTTGGAAAAAAAAAAAAAAAAGTGTTTATAAAACCGGGAAAAGCGGAAGAGAGAGAAGAGAGAGGAACATTTAACCTCTAGGACTGCTTGTTGAATGGCTGCCCTGCCATATTCTGCAGCACAAGCCATAAAGTCTGTTTTATAACAAGCTCTTAGGAGTTAAGGAGGGTAACAAGTAAAATATGTTCCAGAACTTAATGTTCTCTTCTGTCCCACAAATTAAAGAAACCATAGAAGACTTTAAATTACAAGTTTTACTCTGGACCAAATTAGGGTTTACTACTTCTCTCTTCTGCTCCCTGAACAATTGCTATGACTATGCAGGCACTGACTGCGTCTAAGAATGTAATCTATCACACCCCCATAGGACACCTGCCTTACCTACACAAGTACATCTGAAATTTCCCATTATTATTTCATTTTCTGCTCCCACGGTCTCTCTGGTTTCCCTTAGCACACCACAGTCTGTATGCCCATCATGGCTAGGCAGTCAAAATACTCATCAAGACTGTATTTTTTCTACTGCAGCCTGAAATTTGAGTTTGTAAGGTTTCTATATTTTTCATAGGCATGGTTAGCTGTAGTTGGTAGGTAGTTACAGCAACTTTACTTCACACAAGCAAGAGTTTTGGTCATTAAGAAAGCATCTACCCTATTTACCTGAGCTTTATTTATTGGTAATTCTGGACTAATGTGTCTATGACTCACCTGTCTTAACGCACTTCTACACATTCAGTGAGCCTTGAGCATTTAGTCTCCTGCAAATTGCCTGCTTTAAAACCATAGTTGCCTTTTGGCTCAGAGCTTCAGGAATGAAATCTCACCTACAAAAATATTTTATTTTGTATCTAGCTTACAAATTGGTATAACCACCTCATCCAACTGTTTCACTTTCCTCTGAAACAGAACTCATTTCACACTAGCAAGTCAAGGACAGTCTTTGAGAAAGTGTGGTTGAGAGCATTTAAACTAAGAAGTCACCAGACAGACAAGGGCATGGAAGCTGGGCTGAAGGAAAACAGTACATAATATTCATACATAAAAAAACAAATTTTTCCTTAACAAAAAGCTTAACATATAGCCTTAAAGCACCCAGTTAAGGTGGCCAGCTCTCAACATCACCAGCAGCACTGGCATCTATGGTTTGATAAGGTGAGCATACCACTCCTGGGCAAGTATGCTGCAGACTATAAGAAACATTGGATTTGTCCCAACACAGAGGAGGGAAACAAAGCGATTAATCAATGGGACTACTAACACATTTAACGGGAAACAATCCCTAGTGTAGTGAGGCTGAATTCCTCCAAATGGACACATCATTAGGAAACAAAATGGAATAATGCTTTGTACTACAGATCACCCAGAAGTTTGGTAGAATTCCTCCTTTCTGCTTCAAAAAGAATGGAACACAAAACCATATTCAGGTGGTAAAATCTCTAACAGAACTGTTAACCTAAACAGCAAACTGCTTTATTTCAGTAACTTACACACTGAGGAGTCAGTTTGCAACTCAGTGACTGAATATAAACCCCCCTCATATCTGACACAAAGGATATTTTAGACAGAGTGAATCAAACATAGTCTTCTGGATGAAACAAAAACATTTTAGAAAATGCAGCAGCCCAGTTCCTGTACTGAGGTTAGTTTTACAAAAGATCCCTAAAGCAAGGAGATCAAAATCCTAGTTTCCATAAATACTACACCTTTTCCATGAATACCCTGAAAGGAAAAGAGCAAAATTTACATTAATGAACCTGCCCATACAGAAATTACCATGGATCAAATCACAAGACCAGGTAACTGAAAGCCAAAACCCTGTTGTGACTACAATTACATTCATATGAGGGTAGTATTTAAGTATCAGAGGAATCACCTTTGCATACCTGTTTAGTTAATTGAGGCAACACATGACTATCCATTTCATGATGATGTGCAGACCACACATATACCTCAAAAGGATGAGGTAATTTCTTACTTTGCTATCTGGACAGTCATAAATGCGATTTGGGCAAAACCATCAAAATTGGCCATGAAACTTACAGAAAAGCATACCAAGTTATAAAACCAAAGTCCAATTTGTTTTAAAAAAAAAAATCACACAGATGACTACCAAATATCCAGACCTTCACATGATATATGTTCTTGCAAAGTGTAACTCACCTAGATATACTATAATTTTAGTCAAAGGAAACTTAGCTTTTCTAATGTCTGTGCCATTAATGATAACTGCTTTAAGTAGCCATTTACAGTACTTTAATTCCTAAAAGATAATAAGAACTTCAGGTATGAATTACAGGCAATGAATTATCTGACTTTGGTTAAAAAAAAAAAAATGTGGAAGATATTTTAATTGTCCTTTCCTCACAAAATATTTTCTAAATTAGCCAACAGGATCAGAACCTTGCTTAACAAGTAAACTACAATACTGAGGTTCTTTAGGGCCATAACAGTTGGATTTTGAGTGCTTCCAAGGCTAGAAACTGCACAACCTCCTTGGGCAATCTGTCCAGTGCTCAGTCAACCTCACAGTGAAAAAAGCCCCATGTTTCCTGATTGTCAGAGGGAACCTCCTGTGTTTCAGTTTGTGCCCATCATCTCTTATCCTGTCACTGGGCACCACTGAAGAGCCTGGCTCCTTTTCTTCGCACTCTCCCTTTAGGTACTTAATGCATTGATGAGATCTTTCCCCCTCCACTTTCTCTTCTCCAGGACAAACAGTCCCTTCTATCTCAGCTTTCCCACATATGAACAATGCTCCAGACCCTTAATCATCTTTATGGTATAGTGACAACATAGCCTGGCACAACCCAATATTTCTTTGCTGAGGCTGACATCAATATTACCCTGCAGGACCCTGTAGTGAAACACACCAACTACTTCAGGTCTGAATGTTTCAACCAGTAGCACAGCAAATGAGAGAAAAGACAGAGTTTTAATAATGAGAGAAAAGACAGAGTTTTAATTGTTGAGTATTTAACAAAAATTTCAGCACTTACTTAATGGCTTCACACATGTCTAATCCCATTTTCACGCAATTCTTGGCATGATTTTGAAGAGATATAGGTAGTCCAGAAACACAGTAATAGCAGTCACCTAGGATTTTAATTCTCATACATTCATTTTCCTGGAGGAAAAAGCAAGTTGAGATCATCACTTTTCACTTGAATTACATAAATTCAGGGTTATGATTACAAAGGCTGACTTAAATACTGTTAGCAAAATCATTCTACTGAAGCTTGTTCCAGTAGAAAAGCTGAGAAAAATAAGCTAAAAAAGGAGTCCTGTCAAAGAGTTTTGTATGGATGATTGCATTAAGGAGCTCATATGGTCCTTAATGGGCAAAACCAGGAAGTAAGTTTACTGAAAAACATGTATCTGCAGTGGTATTCACACTTTAGATTAAAGAAGTGAGCCAAAGTATCACGTACTCAATCTAAACAAAGTCCTACTGTTTGAAATACGAAATCAAAAGACCTAGCCTTCCACAGTTATAACTTTGAAGATGTAATATGACACAGAATACTTCCTGAAACTATCAATCATAATCATATTTCTATCTTTTGTATTCTAAGGCAATGTAAAGATTTATTTTTTTACCAATACTGGGTGATAGTTTTTGAACTAATAACACAGAAAATTTTTATGTTTTAGTGTTTCTGATTTCACCTTCACACACAGCATGAAATTTGTTGCATTTTTATAAAAGTAGCACTTAAATAAAAAGGACAAAATCTTCTGATTGTATTTGAATCTTTTCTTGAATAAACAAGATGCTGCGGTCAGTAATTAAAATTGCTTCGGTCAATATTGTCTCTCTTGCCCTCCAGCCTCTTAAATGTTTTTCCCGAGATCTGAAAACTGATTGTATCAATTTTCTTTCTTGAGTTTCTTAATCCTTGTTACTGTAAAAAAATCTATTTAAAGAGCAGTTCATCTGCCATTAGGCTTTACTGGGCTCCATGAGCTGTCTCTATTGGTCCTGTTAGAGAGCTATCTTGGGTTTCACAGATTGTCACACTGGCAGAAACACACTGCTGCACTCAGTGCAGAGCCAGATTTTTCCTTCACACGCTTCAAGTCTAGTCTTCCTGCCAAAGCCTCAGAAAGACTGCCTGAAGGTAAAAGAGTCTCAAGAAGAAAAAACGTTTTAAATATGACGTCCTTATTTAAACTAACCGTAGCAGCCCAGTAGAAACCCACCTTTGCAATCTGATCAAATTTGCCAAACAGCTCATTTAGCATGTGCACCAATTCCCCTGGTGAGCAGTCACTGGCCAGGCGAGTGAATCCCACAATATCAGCATACAAAATGCTGCAACAGAAATGAACAGAAACTTCGTCACAGTTTCCATCTGCAGAACTCAGATTTAGCAATCAACAGCAAAACCTGGAAGCAGGCATTCCAGACTTCACAAAGGTATGCCAGTACCCAAACCAGGCACTGCTAAGTAATATGTAATATAGCTGCCTCTACATACATTATATAAAACCTGATGAATTGTTCCAGGTAAGAAAATTACAAATTCAGAATAATGAAACTGACATGAACTACAGTTTTGATGGTGCACATGAAAGCAGGATTTGGTAATTTAACCTGAAAAATCAAGGCATTATGAAGAAAACCAGTTAATGAGTGCCTTTTTCTAAACAACTCCTTTATCACTTTTGCTGCTCTTCTGGAACACGGAATTGTTAGCATTTGATCAAATTTATTGATATTAACATGAGTGTTTTGAAAAACATATTAAACATATTAAAACAGTTATTTTCTTAATTACTCCCTTAACTTTCTTTTCAAAATTTCTCTGAATGTTGTTCATACATTTTTTGACAGTACGATACCTTACATTGGTGTGCCTTTTAACATACAAATTGTGGAAGTTGTTTGTGTTTTCCAGCTGGCCTGCCTTGGGACCTTGTAGCCTCTGAATGATCTCTGCTTTCATTTCCATGGCAATGTGAGCCGGCAGTAAAGACAGTAGAAGACGCTCCTAAAATTTAAAATGAAATATCCACAATTTCTTGTAAGAAGAATGAAATTATTATGGCAGCAATACTGTGCAAAGCATATGCTATTGTCAATACTCTAGAACATTTTGATGAGGCTTGCACTCAGGCATTTGCCTGGTATGGCCTCCAAAATTAATCAGTTCCTTGAACAACTTGACAGAAATATATACACATTTACTGACATCTAACATCTTCAAGGTTTTGTGTATATTAGAAAAACATCTGAAGAAGTTATATACAGTAACCTATTCAACATCTGAGTACGATGTGGGAAATATAGATTGGCAAATAAAGCAAGAGCTGCAAGGACTCTTCAGAGGACTTCAGGGAAATGCATTCCAACTTAGGCAAGAGTAGGCTAATATTTTTTAAATGTTTAGCCATAGTTTCGGTGGTTGTTGACTGAAAATGAAAAGACAAAATCAAGACACAGAACATGTTGAAAATGTTGGACTTTTCCAGAAATGGAAGTTTTCTAAAAATATTAACCTAAAAGGAAATCAAATATTTTGTTTAGAATTCTACATATTTTTCCTTATTTTTTATTGGTGTTATACGCTTAATTTTAACCTTGTGAAGTTCTCCTACATCAGTATATTTTAATTTTGCCCATTTTATCTGTGACAGCTTTTCACTGAATTCCTACTCCGGAAAACTAGATCAAGGGAATAGCTTGAACTCTGCAGAAGAGAAAAACCCTTCCCGCTTTGATTATACTCCACCTCAAAACTGAACAGGAATTTCCCATTTTCTCATAGGCAGAGAAGAGAAGCTAATTTTGGCTAAGCACAAAACACAGAACTCTGAACCAGTGAGGAAGGGAAAAGCAGCTGTAAAAGCTCATGAATGAGTCAGAGAAAGAAACAGATATGCCAAAAAAGACAGTGACCTCAAGTACACATCCATGGGGCTGGTACTTTTTTATTTCTAATGCAGTCCACCAGTGCTTCATGGAAGTATTTTGCTGAATTATAAAGAAAACCTGCAAAACGAGTGGACATTTTTCTATAATGAAAGCTTACTTTTGCAAGCTGCTCTTTATATAACAGAAATCTGCTGTTTCGTGATGTACAGGACGGTCAGCATTTGGTAATAATTATCATGTAATAGCTTGCAAAAAGGTGAGTGCTCTTAGCTCCAATTTTACATCACTGTGCTCCTGTAATACCATGGCCAGTAAATACAACCTAGTTGACTACGTTCCTATGACTCTGCTAGGATTCCATGCATGCAGTAAGGCAGACACTCAAGGTCCAGGTTACTTCTTTGGTCTTTGAAACCTAGGCAGGCTGGCAAAAGGTCAAATAGAAAAGCAATAGTTTTCAAGAAAGCAGTAGAAAAGGTAACAGATAAAGTTTTCATACGAAGCAGGGTAAAGTCATCTACAAGCTAAAGAATCATAAGAGAAAAGGGAAAATAGAATGCCCTTATTTTGTAGAGGACAGCAGGAGAGACGAGATATTTCCCCTCCTTTTTCTCTCCAGGCCAGACCACTAATCTGTTCTGCTTAAAGGTCCTGGTGAATCTGTTCATCATATCAGAACTTCTCTCCAAAGATTTTTTTCCTTCCTCCACTTCCCCTGTACAAAAGAGAAGTTTACAACCAGAGGTGGCTTTAGAGAGCTGCAACTGGTGAAGCACGCTGCAAAATATCCTGCCGCGCCCAGCTATACCTAAATGCTTCAGCCACCCTCTCCACCATGCAGCCTGGGAGTGCTCACATATCTGTCCTGAAGTTACCAGATGTCTGTTAATGTGTTATCAAGTCACATACTGCATTTCACCAGACTGTTAATTCTTATTTCTTTCACTAAAAGACAACTGTGAAAGAAGCTGAATCTCAACTATTTATGAAGACTGTGGCTGGTCCTGTCAGCTAGCTAAATACAAAAGTTGCAAATACATTATTCCCTCTCTTTCTGCTGAAAGAGCCCAAGAAATGCAACGGATTTAAGAACACCTCTTCCTTCATGTTTTGTTATCTCTGGTGGCTATAATTTGCATAGTGAAAGGATCAAACCCAACTACTAATCAGATTGTAGTGCCTGAAGCGCACTAAAACTACTGTAGACTGAAACAGTGTGAGAAACATAGCAAATCAAGATTGCTGCTTATGATGGCTTTTTATTTGATAATACATTCTGTACTATTCTCTCAGCTAGAAAAGCCACACAGCAAAAACTAGGTGAACTAACATACAAGGCTGACTGAGACAAAACACTTGCCTATTAGTAGTAGACAGAGAAGCCATCCTCAGAGCTATAACCTGTAAGAAATAAGCCAAAGTAATTCTGAATGCAGGTCAAGATGCAGCATTTAAAAGTCTTCTGACTAAAAATAACAGTACCTGCTTCTGGTGAAAGAGAAACTGCTGTGCTATAGCAATAATGAAAATTTGCTCACAAATGTCTTTCCCTGACATATTACCAACATGGTCTTACAACCAGCACACGAGACTGATGTACACAAGACTATTTCCTGACTATCCGTGTTCTCTGGGGCTCTGCTTTCCCCTCACTGCTCAAATTATAGCTGAGATTTTTAAGTCCTAGGGATAAAAGAGCATACAATCCATATGGATTATAAAATTGTGGTGCCTTTCAGTACTACAGGGTTAAGAACTCCTTTCTTCTCTGAACAAGTCAATCTGGACCCCAGTAGATGGCTAACAAGTGTCATCCTCCCTTGATTTTCTAACTGAGGATTTTCAGTGGTATCCGTCAAACTGTTACTTGAGTTCTTGTTCTGTCAAACCCCATTTTTGCCCCTTACGATGTCATTGAGGGGGCTGAATATAGAACTCTACTTTTCTGTGGGTTGGGTTGTTTCCATATTCCTGTGGCACATGTCTACTTATTTATTCAGCAAGTTTGATAGAGCAGGCCAGTAAGTAAGCAGTAAGGGTTCTAGAATCAATTGCCTATACATGCAATCCAGCTTCACAACAAAGTTTACAAATAAATATGGACAAAATATGATTTTCAGCTGCCCTTGAAAGGTATAAAGAAATGAACTGCAAAACAGGAATCTTGTGATTCCTGATCACACAATGATCTATCAGCCATATAGAGATGGTGATCAACAGGATATTTGTTTGGTAAATTATTGTACTGTTTACCCAGATCTCATGAACGTTCTCTTAAATACACCCACAATGTTAAGCAGCTGTAAATTTGTTTTTTTTTAAAGCTAACTTGGACTCCTAACTGGGAGAGGAAATTGTTTTTTTTTAAAAATTAGGCATTATTATCCCCTTAAATGTAGCCTATATTAGTAACCTCCACCACCCTTATTACTTGTACTGAGACCAATAAATTGCATTTTACTCACACACAGCAAGAAAGGTATTCAATCTTGATTACAGAGACATAAAGAGATGGAGAATTCATCAACTCCTTAGCTGTTTGTTCTAGTGGTTAATCAGCTGAACTGTTTAAAACTGTTAAAAATGTGTTCTGTATTTCTTACTTTGAAGTCTTGGTCCTGTTATATCTGTCTCCGCTCAAGATTAATGTCCACAGTCTTTTCCCAGTGAAGTTAAACACTGATCAGATAATTCAATTTTCTTTCTGATCAGGTAAACAGACTTGGCTCCATAAATCTCCTGCTCCTGAGTATTTTCTACACTCTCTTCTCTAAACCCTCAAAAACCTTCAAACATTTTTTTAAAGGTAATTTGACACAAATCCTAACATTGTGCTCCAGTAAACAGAATGATACACACACACATATACCTTCCTGCTTTCTTCCCTTAACATGTCCATGACTTCCACTGCACAACTTCCTGCTGTAACATCTCTGGAGTTCCCCGTCTGCTATGTATCCAAACTTTTTTTGAAAGTTACATACTCTTTGCTTTTAGAAACATGACTTTCCAGACTGTTCTTACAAACTATGTTGATGAATATAATTTATAAAGAATTGCATAGTATGGTATTTACTATCAGATCAATATTTGGCTTTTCTGCAAAAATAACTGTCTGCAATTGCCTTCATGTATCTCCTACATCATTAATAAAAAATGCATAACAGCATAAACAATGAGAACTGGTTCTTGCAGGATATGAGACACAGGACAAGTCGTTGAACACCTCCACGGATAATTTCCAGTTACCCCACTCTAGATTCATTAGACTGATCTTTTTTGACAGGAAGCAGTGTCAGTACTTTTAACCAGATGCCCAGAATCTTTGCACCAAACACCTTACTGGAATCTACTACTTTTGGAAAGTTACTTAACCCAAATCTGTTCCCCATTAAAAAGTTAAAAACATTTTCATATGACTCAATTTCCCACAAGTTTTTGAGTACATCACTGCATTTCTTTGTAAATACAAAACCATCATAGCAGCACCTTTTATTTCCTGTGAGTTGTTTATATTCTTCCTATCTAGTGGCAGCCCCTTCCTTTGTTGGGATGGCTTTTTTCCTGGAATACTTTCAAAACACTGTCATCAGCCTTGACAAAAACAGGCAAGGATTTTTCCTGACATCTACAAGTCTACATATCACAATTTTTGTCATATTGAACTACTTTTCAAAAAAAAATAATTGCTGCTTTTGCTTTCACTCATGGCTCGTAAAGGCTTTATACTACAGCTGACATCTTTTCTGATGACAGAATTATGAACTCTTGTCTGTTCATTAACAGCCTCCTAAAGGGCTCCCCATTGCTAACAACATTCATCTATGGTTTGCTTTGGGTTGTTTCTTACAGAAAACTACTTTTTTTTAAGTCCCCAAGCACAGCACTGTAAGACTTCTTATCTTCACGATCCTATAGGTGAACTTTCAGGGCTGGCAATACCAGGAGCTGATATCAAACCAGGAAGTCAATACACGTAAGTAGAATGAGGGCACCATCCTCTCAGTCCTCGCTACTTCACCAGACATGGGACATAAACTCCCTCATGAAGATGTTCTGCAGAAGACAACCCATAAGTGTCTGGCAGCTGCTCTAGTGAGAAAAGGAGACCTGAGC